CAGTTGGTGGGAGGTCAACTCAAGATGACGGTGCTGCGGGAACAGGAGTGAAATCTCCCTCCCCACTTCTTAACTCACTCCCACCCACTGTGGAGCTGTTATTTGGCCTACAGCAGAGGTTTTCAACCTTTTTGAGTCCACAGCTCCCTTGACCAACTACATTCTTTCTGCAGCACCGCTGTGGGGCTCAGGAGCCCAGCTATGTCTCCCCTTGCCTGCAGAGCTGGCAGCCTCTCACCCTTTTTCAAACGCTCTCATTTGTGGAGTGTTCCCTCAGCCTCCTCTCCTCTCCCTTCTCCTTGGGAGTCCTCCAGGCAGCTGCTGCTGCCATCTCTGGTCTCTCCTCCCTTGCCCCGAAGAGAGGTGCCTGTCAGAGGCACCATTCACCTGCGAAGCTTATAGCCAGGGCTGCTGCAATAAACAGCTATGCAAGCCTTTGGGAGGCAGAGATGCGAGACGCCATCCGGGGGGGGGGAGAAATAGGGACAGAGGCCAGTGTTGCCCATGGCACCCTGACCATCATTCAAGACACCCACTGGTCGAAACCCTCTGGCCTACAGGGATGTACTCAGGAGCAGAAGAAGTTGCCTTATGATGAGTCAACTGTTGGTCCATCTAGTTCACTATTGGATGAACTTGCAGCCATGGCTCTCCAGGATGACAGACTGGGTATGTTCCCAGATCAAATGTATGACTCCCCTATGAAAGGTTGCAGTGTTTGGGAATTCTTAGAGGAGATTAAGAGGTGATGTGATAGAAGCTTATTTAGCTATACATGGGGATAAAGAGGATAGAGAAAGTTTCTGTCCCTCTCTCATACAACCAGAATTTGGGGCCATCCAACTGAAGCTGAATGTTGAACAATTCAGGGTGAATACGAGAAAATACTCATTCACACAAGCACATAGGTAAACTATGGAATTTGCAGTCACAGGAGGCAGTGATGGCCCCCAACTTAGATGGCTTTAGAAGAGAGTTGGACAAATCCATTAAGGAGAATACTATCTATCCACGGCTATTGGCCATGATGGCCATGCTCAGCCTCCACTGTTGGAGGCAGCAATGCTTCTCTGCATGCCAGCTGCTGGAAACCACAGGAGGAGAGAGGGCCCTTGCTGGTTTCTCTCTGGGACATCTGGCTGGCCACTGTGAGAAAAGGATGCTGGACAACATGAGCCCTCTTTTGGCCCGATCGAGCAAGCTCTTCTTAGGTTGTTAGCCCTTTTCAGAGCAGACCTATTGAAATTAACAGACATGACTAATGTATGTCCATTCATTCCAATGGGTCCACTCTGAGTAAAGCTTTGCAGGCTACACCCATTATTATTTAAAAAATTTTTTAAATAAAAACAGAAGGGAGCACTGATCACAGACATCTGGGTGTCACGCCTTCATTAGTCCTAATTCTGGGACCTTTGGGATCTGACAAACACCTTGTGCAATCCATCCTGCAAGCCACTCATGACTGCAAAACATCCACAAGCTGACCTAGTTTGGCCAAAACTAGACACAGGCTTTTCCTGAATTGGGAGGGCTCCTGCCTAGACAGAGGCAGGTACGGAAATTTGACTCACTGCCGTTTTATCAATTGGAACTACATCATTCCCTGGCTAAGGTTGCCACCAAGTGGCTGAGAGTTTGGAAAACACTGGGGGATTTTCAGGTTAGAGATACACAAACACACACACCATGTTCTTAAATTACTGTACTCAAATTGCTGTTTCTGAAACTTCAGAGAGCCAAATTGGAGGCACATTTTCTTGTTCCATTTGAAGAAGCTTTGTTTAGAATAGAAGTTGGGAAATATCCAGCCCAGAGCTTTCTCAACCCCTTTTCCAAAGCCCTGCTCCATGGCCTGTTAAGTATAATTGGTTTAACTCACACTGAAATGAGAATGGCTAAGAGAGTATTGCTAACATGGTGTGTGTTTTCCCCCTGACAGCAGTTTCCTGCGTGTTACAAATTCACCATGTTCGAAGGGTGTTCGAAGGCTAGTTCTTTGGTTTCTCTGAAACTTTGTGAAGGTGTAAATGAAGCTCTCCAGGAAAACAGCTCCAGGCAAAATGGATGCTAAAAAGAGAGAGACCTTTTCTTTATAGGTCTGTTTGGATTATTTCATATTTAACAACAACAACAATTTTATTATTTGTACACTGCCCATCTGACTGGATTGCCCCAGCCACTTTGGGCAGCTTCCAACATATATAAAAACATAAAAAATATTACCCATTCTATTATGCTGAGCCTGTGCTGGACAGTGCGGTGGTGACGCGGGTGGCACTGTGGGTTAAACCACAGAGCCTAGAACTTGCCGATCCGAAGGTCGGCGGTTCGAATCCCTGTGACGGGGTGAGCTCCTGTTGCTTGGTCCCTGCTCCTGCTCCTCCTAGCAGTTCGAAAGCACGTCAAAGTGCAAGTAGATAAATGGGTACCACTCCGGCGGGAAGGTAAATGGCGTTTCCGTGCGCTGCTCTGGTTCACCAGAAGCAGCTTAGTCATGCTGGCCACATGACCCGGAAGCTGTACGCTGGCTCCCTCGGCCAGTAAAGCGAGATGAGCGCCGCAACCCCAGAGTCGGCCACGACTGGACCTAATGGTCAGGGGTCCCTTTACCTTTACCTTTACTTGATGCTTGCGGTTTTTCAAGAAAGTTCTGCGTGTAAAAGTTTAAATATTTTTATGGGTCTGGACAATGTTTATTTCCAAAAGGGGTGAGTTTTTATGCATCCAGTCTCTTTAACCTGCACAATATTGATATCTCCAAACTGGCCTACTTGAATGTTTTTGCCTAACTAGACTGTCTGTCTGTCCTTGAACTCTGTCTGCCAGTCAGAGTGAACAAAACTGGGTTTGCTGAGCCAATGGCCTAACTCAGGTTTTTTGTTGTTGTTGTTTTTAAAAAGCAGCTTTATGTGTTCATTTGTTTTTCCTTTCTTCTTAGGCTTGGTATTAACTGTGGAGGGTAAAGGTAAAGGGACCCCTGTCCATTAGGTCCAGCCGTGACCGACTCTGGGGTTGCGGTGCTCATCTCTCTTTATTGGCCAAGGGAGCTGGCGTACAGCTTCCGGGTCATGTGGCCAGCATGACTAAGCCGCTTCTGGCAAACCAGAGCAACGCACGGAAACACCATTTACCTTCTTGCCGGAGCAGCACCTATTTATCTACTTGCACTTTGACATGCTTTCGAACTGCTAGGTTGGCAGGAGCAGGTACTGAGAAACGGGAGCTCACCCGTTGCGGGGATTCGAAACCCAGACCTTCTGATCAGCAAGTCCTAGGCTCTGTGGTTTAACCCACAGCGCCACCCACTGTGGAGAGTAGCAAGTTGCAAATGAGGCCAGCAAAGGCTATTGTGTGTTTAAAAGCTGGAGGAAGAATTTCCACAGATGCAGCTACCTCCCTACAGCACTGTGACATGAGAAGGTCCCCTGCCAATATTCCCTCTTCCAAGCTGAAGACACAGGAGCCTTTTCTCCTTTCCATATGCTCTCCTTAGTTACACGAGATATTTAACCTATGTAACCAGGGAGCAGTTGTTCATGCAGAACAATTGGATCATTTTAATTCCAGAATATGGTCCCCTGCAAAAAAAGAGGGAGAGGCAGTATGCCAACTGGGTGGACAGCAAATAGCAGAATAGCAACAAATATCCATTACTGAGAAAACATGGAAACGGAAGTGCTAAACAAGTACAGGGAAGAACCAGGAATTTGTGACTTCTTATACTGAGTCAGATCATTGCCCTGTCTAGCTCAGTATTGCCTACACTGGACGGCAGCAGTTCTCCAGGGTTTCAGGAAGGGTTCTCTCCCAGCCCTAACTGAAGATGCCTTTGGGGATAACCTAGGACCTTCTGCATGCCAGCAGATGCTCTGCGATTATTTTTTGTTCTGGAAGGAGAGGGCACCTGCTGCTTCATCCCACCTGTTATCAAGAAAAAAACTGCTCCTTTTCCCTTATTGGGTATCCAAGAGCCCGTATAGAGTCCTTAGGTAGGTTCCCTATTGGAAGGAGAAAATAACAGAGGCCAACCAGAGAATACTGAGAAGCAAGGCAGCTAGTAAGCCTGATCTTTATTAAAACTGTTGCAACAGGGTCCTCACTCACTACACACCCAGGAGAGAGGAGGATTACCAGAACAATGGCGTACAAGCCCTTGTATAGACTCTTTGAAATTGCCACCCTGTAAGCTTAGAGGCCACCCCCCAATATATCATACATACATCACAGACGGGGCAGTGTACAGCAGAAATCCTCTCTGCCAGAATACCTGATAATAGTGACTGATTGCATTACCTGGGCAGCCCATTCTTTTGTGATGGTAAATACTTTAGTTCCTGAATCCAGGTCACAGGCTCACCCTATTCATACAGACATATGCCCTTAAGGCAGGTAAGCAAAAGACAATGGAGAGGCTTTCCCATTTCCTTCCTCCTTGCAGAGAAATATTTGAGGTCACTGCGAGAGTCAAAATGGTTTGGGAGAGTCAAAATGACTCCAGGATTGTTCTCCTGTACTATTTCAGACACGTGGTTTATATACTTATGTATGTGTTTGCCTCGTATATTTATGATCGCTTGTTTTATATGTGGGACCTAGCCCAAAACATAGGATTTCCCTGCTTGGCAGGGGGTTGGACTCGATGGCCCTTGTAGTCTCTTCCAACTCTATGATTCTATGATTCTATGAAAAGGGGTCTTTTTGAAACGTGAGATTCAGATCGTATCTCTCTATAATTTTTGTGGCTCTGTGTTTCGTGTATCGTCACCAGACATCCCGGTTGCCCTCGAGAAAGATGTCCGTTCTTTCCTCAGTGTGACCTCCTAAGTCCTGATCTCGTCGTTAAAACTCCTAGAAGAAAGACGGACGGCGAGGGTAAGACGTCAGCTCTATAAGTTCTGACTGGGGTGAAACACAGGAGAGACTGGAGACGCTTGATTTTTGTCTCTGAGCAACGCTGCCCTAAACAAAGATGGCGATGATCTCGCTTTCCGGGGGGCGGGGTGACGTAGCGCACAGAATAAAATGGCGGCCGTGACTTCTGAAGGAGCCCGAATATTGATCTTGGTTGGCTGTTTTCCCTGCGGGGAGGCTGCGGAAGTAGCTCTGCGTGCCGCCGGAAGTTGGTGATGGTGCCTGGCGGACCTGACCTGGTTGCGGACAGACCTTCTTCTCCATGCGGGCCGGGAGTGTGAGTCGAAGGTGGAGGTTCTGCTCCACCCTGATTTGCATATGCTAATATATATTGATACATTTAAATATTTGCAGGTTGGCGGTGGCCGTTAGGGATGCCTCACCATAGAGGGTTGCCCGTTGTGCGTATGCTAATTTATGCAAATAATTGTCTCGTGTTTGTGTGAATTGGTCACCGGGTTAGTAATAAACAGGTTTTGTTTCATGTGTTCTTCTTGCATCGTTTCCCTAAATATCTCAAGGTGATCACATGGGTGACCCCTCCCCCAATGAAGGGTTCTCACAACACCCGTGTGAGGTAGGCTTGACCAAGAGAAAATGGCTCAAGATCAGCCAGACTAGTGTCAGTGGCTGAAGGGGGATTTGAACCCAGGCCTTATGGCGTCCAAGTCCAATTATTGTGTCGCTGTCTCTTTCTGTCCACCACTCCATTCTAATAGGATTTCAGGATTTTCATATGGGCTTAACTTGGATAGATAGATCTGTTATATCTGCTTTGCAGATTCTTAGATTTCTTTGTAAGAGCTTGGTGTAGAAATGATGGTTAGTAAGAAAATGATATCCCATCATTCCTTCCAAATTGCTCTGAGGGACATATGGAATTCTCCTTTCATCCTCTCAACAACCCTACGAGGCTGAGAGGGACTGGGTCAGAATTGGGTCATTGCTGAGTTGGGTGAGATTTGAGCCTGAGAGTTCAGTAATAGTTTCCTATCTCTGTTCTGGGCTAACTGAAACTTGTTTTTCTGTTTATCATCAATTTGATGTGGAGGTTTGAGTCTCTATGGCTTTTTGTTGTTGTTGTTCAAACAGGGTCCTTCACGCAAAGCAACTGACAGACGCCCTTCAAAGAAGCTAAAATGTGAAAAGAAAAGCCTGGCTAAACAGGAGATACAAGGAGCCAATTTCTGTGCGAGCACCAGCCACCTTCTCTTCCCAAAAGAGACAGCCGATAAAGCCGCCTCAGGCGTGAAGTTTCCACACCTCAAGATGATGCTGCAAAGCGAAGGGAAGGAGGTTCCTCAGATAGCTGAAGAGATGCTGGAGGCTGAAGAGGATGGCCTCTGTGTGAAGCCATCAGCGCCAGGTACGGATGGCAAAGCCCTCTTCCAGCCCCGTGTCCAGAATGTGGAGGAAGAGAATGAGGAAGAAGAAGAGGAAGAGGAGAGCTGTGGAGCTCGGTTGTCGGATGACTCTGAGATGGAGCCAGAGGTGCTGAGTCAAGGCTTCAAGTTGGACAACAGCATTTTCTTGAATGAGGACAGCAACCAGCCACTGCCAGTAGACCGATTCTTTGGCAGTGTGGCGTTTATGCAGGTAGGGGAAGGGGGTCAGCAGAAGGAAGCTTGGGGTTATGGCTGCAACCCAAATCCCACTCATTTAGGAAGCTCTTGTATTATTATTATTATTTATTATTATTTTATTAAACGTATATCCTGCCCATAAGAAACCAGAGAAAGAAAAACAATTTAAAAAAATAAAAACATTTAAAAACAGTCACATAGTCATCACAGCTAATAATTTCAAGGGTGCCCAAAATATATGTCTTTGTAGGACTTCTGAGACAACTAATAAATTTGGGTAGGGGAGCTTTTTGGCTCCTTATTAGGATCTAGTCTCATGAGCTAAATTTTAAGTATGGGTGAGGTTGCCCACCTGTCATTCACTTAACTGCTCCCTTTTTTGATGGAAATGAATGTTTTATGTCTGTTTGACACTGAAGGGCTGAGGGAGACATAAAGTGGTGTTCAATACTAGTCCTACTCAAAGTAGTTCCATTGAATGGTTATCTTAGGTTAATTAATTTCAGTGGATCTACTCATGACTATGACATAGCTGAATACAACCAAGAATAGATAATTGTTTTCTTGTTTTACTATAAATGTTGTTGATTTATCAAGTTTTTGTTTTTATTTGCCTGGTTCTCATAAACCAGCAGAATGAAAGAGATGCCAAAGAGTTTCTTTGCAGTTCAGCAGCTTGTAGCTCCATTTCTAACTTATTTTTCTCAGGAAATTAAAAAGTAAATTCAATTTGTAATCATTGACTGAATAAATTGCATTTTTAGTATATCAAACATGATAATTTAATGGCAAACCAATTTATATATTTTAAGACATTTTATGTTCCTAAAGTAACAAAGTGACTTTTGATCCATTAAGGGTGCTAAAAAAATGCATATTTTTTTTCAATTCCCTCCCCTCCCCCAAATTTCCCAGGGAGGGGGAGAATGGAGGGGGAACAGTTCTTTTCCACAGCTTCACAATTTCCAGAAACTTTACGTCTAATCGGTTGTCCTGGATGTTCATGCATTCTAGGAATAACATGGTACCTTCCTGATGCTATTGGACTACAGTTCCCATGATCCCATGCTGGCTGAGGCTGATGGGAGCTGGAGTCACACAGGGCCCCGAGTGGTCTGTCTGAAGCAACCTTGGCCCATGCATTAAGTCTGCTCTTGGCTTGTTCCTTTCCTAGGACCTCCCAGCCCATCCTCTCTCCCGGGTGTCTGCCAGCAGGAGAGAGCTGAGAAAGGGACACTTCATAGCCAAGGACGATGATGACGATGAAAAGGAAGAAGTCGCTTGAGCACCGAGCACTGACCCGGTCACCTTCAGTAGCTGCCATTTCTTTTTCCCTGACGCAAATGTGCATCTCACCACCGTTGTTGCATCTTCTAGAGAAGTGCATCTTCTTTTTTGAAAAAGTTAACCCTCCCAGTTCAGATGTTGGAGGCAATGTCACAGACTGCGTGTGAGGCAAAGGCAGAAAGTCAGCAGAAAGTTTGACAGCACTTGTTACGAACAACTCCTGACTCCCAGAAGGGGAGAAGAGCAAACAGTTCCCAGAAGCAGCATGTGTGTGGGAAACAAGTCAGTATCTTGATTCCTGTGAGAATGCAAGCTTGGAAGGTAGGAGTTGTGGGGTCACTTGGCAACTCCCTGCAGGCGCTTAGACCTCAGGGGTCGCACCAGCAAGCTTGGGAGGAGGGTTTGCAGGATCTCTCGGGCACAGTGAGAGATGCTAGCCCCAGTATGAATGACTATCCCCTCCAGCCTCCTTTTCCAAAGAGGTAACGATCCACTTTGCCTACAGTATTTCTTGCACTGCTGATCACCCAGGTTGCGAGGCAGCGGCCTGGAACGGCAGAAGCTTAGTAGAGAACTAATTAAAAACGATTTATAGAGCCCTTAAGTTGTGTTAGTTCATGTTGCAAAGCGGCTGATGCCAGAGAAGAGAAATCTGCTCTCTGGATTTTGTTGCTCCTAATGAACGGAAGACTGTCGGATAGTTCCCGAATGACAGTGTTATTTGTGTTGGCAGGATTTTATTTAATTTTTATTGCACAGGAGGAAAACACAGCATGGAGGAGCGGTGCAGAAATTGAGGAGCCACAGGGCTAAGCGGGGCAGCGAGGGGGGTGTTACCAAATTTTCTACCTCAAGGAAGCTTCTACCCCAGTTGATCTGCCACAGAAGCCTAGACTGTTGCAGAGGATTTTGAGAAATAGTAGAAGAGCCCTGGTGGATAATAGATGTGTCATCTAATCCAGCCTTCCAGATGTTGTGAGCTCTATAAATTCCCAGTAACCACCCAGCAAGGGATCAGGGATGATGGGAGTTGTAGTCCAACAGTTAGAGGGCAACAGGCTGGGAAAGGCTGCTCTATTCAAACGTCTTACAGCAGCAAGTTAGGTGCCTCCAAATGGGCATCTGGAAACCAGGCATTCTCACAGTTTAGCTCCTCTTAGTCGCCTTAGCTAATTACAGCTGATAATCCTTTCCTCCACTAATCTGTCTAGCTCTTTATAGTAAGTTGGACTAACCTGCATCCGTCCAGATGTTCCTGGACTCAAAGCATACTTAACAATTGGTTGTACAAACAAGCTAAATTGGGAGCTGGAGTCTCAACATTTGGAGGGCTTTAGGGTATCCTCCCCTGATTTAGAGTCAAATTGAAAGGAAACCACCTCTGTTTCCTACACGCCCCCCCCCCCCGAAAGTAATTGGGAGGTATTTTATTTACTTTGTTTATAGCCCACATTCTTCTCCAAAGAGCTTGAGGTGGTGTACATGGTTTCCCCCCCCCCCTCCTTATTTAACCTCCACAACAGCTTTGTGAGGTAGGTTAGCCTGAGAGGCAGCGACTGGCCCAAGGTCAGCCAGTGGGGCCAAGTGGGGATTTTGACCCCGGTCGCTCTAAGCATTATCCCACACTGCTTAGAGAACCATAGTTTTCTGTGTGACATCACAGTGCTCACTGCATTAATCCCTGTCCTCCTTTCTATTTCCATGGCTAGCAACCAACATTTTGCATGTGATACACTCCTTGGGTCCTGCTGTCATGGATTTGTTGGATGCAGAGGAATGGTAGGAAGAACCAGCTGGGGAATCCCCAAAGGGAAGAAGGCTCAGAGACAGGGGATTGGTGGGAAAACAATGAGGGAGAAGACTGGGAGGAGAAGGTGTTGGAAGCTGAAGAGGTAACAGGGCTTGGTGAGAAGGGGGAGTTGGTATGGGGGGAGCATACAGTTGTCCTAAATGTATAGGACTTGTTTCTGAACAGACCTGCTTAGGACTCTACTAGACAGGAGAGCTAGATATGCTACAGAAATAAAATCAGGGCTTTACAGGCTCTGGGCTTGAAATGAAGGATACCAGCATATGTGATTGGTTTCTTATTTTTCATGTTCCGTTCTGCAGTACTGCAGGATAAGCCAGGCTGAAAATGGCACAGAAAACATAAGGCAGTGAAGCCATTTTCTGTTTCTACTACTTGATTTAGGGCTTCTCCATGCTTTGCATGGTGGAACTTCCGCCACACGAGTACTCATATAGGTAAACAATGAGCCTTCCATTTAAACATTGCAAAATCCCCATAGGATGTGGAGAAGAATCCATTGTTTGACTTGGGTGACTGCATGGGCCCTGGCCAATAGGCACCCACATCAGGGAAATAAATGGAGTTGCCAGCATTCGGGAGTTCAAAAACGTGTGCCCTTCCTCCTGATGGAGACAGCCACGTGCAACTGAGGTCAAGGGCCAGAAGGCATTGGGACTCCACAAAATAAAGGCTCATCGGCCAGACCACCAACCCAGGTGCTCAGGAAAAAGGTACATCAGCCCACAACTTAGAAGTCACTCCCTTGGCAAATGGGGGGGGGGGGTCACTTCCGGATCTTGTGGACCCCTTTCCGTTTTCGGTAGATCTTGCTCTTGTCACAGCTGAGGTTATGGTAGGCTTTCTTGTGGCAGGCAATGTGCACCAGTTTCAGATTATGGACGGTAAACAGCAGCTGGTAGAAGTATTCCCAGTTCACTTCCCTGCCGTCTCGGCCCTTTACAGCTTCTGCTAACGTCGGGAGGACCATCCGCTTCTTCTCAATTCTGAAACAGAAAGCAAGCCCTGTGGATGTTAATGTTTAGAGCCTTTTTCAGAATTTGGAAACAAGCAAATGTTTCCTGGGGACCCAAGGCAGTGCACGTTCGGTGCAAACCCAGGGGAAATAGCAGAATTCTGAGTCCTGAATCTCAGGGCTCAGGGCTGTTGCTTTTCAAGTTCGTTTTAAAGTAACATCTATTGCCCCACCCAGCATTGTAATGTGGCCCCCAGAAGGCTGCCTGCTTAGCAACACAGCCCCTGAGCTGGAATAGGTTGTCCAACCCCAAAATTGGAAGAAATCAGTCTGCCTTCCGGTGCCTTTTGTCTTTCCAAAATGGCAGGAAATGCCCGTTCAGATATTGCACTTGTACCTACACATGGTCGAGGTTCCAGGTGCTAAAGAGGACTCTGCTCTCTTTGTTCCCATACGGATTGATGGAGTGTTGGCTAGGGCAGTTTTCTGCATCAAAAGGGCCCTGCGGAAAGACAACAGCATGAAATAATAATACAGTAATGTTGTTATTTATACCCTGCCCATCTGGCTGGGTTTCCCTAGCCACTCTGGGCAGCTTACAGCATATCTAAAAACATAATAAAAACATCAAACCAAATAAAAACCGAAGCTGAGAGTTCATGGGGAAAAGGGAATACATCAATTTACATAAAAATAAACAAGCTTAAATAAATCTCTGCAAGGGGACAGGGTGTCATGGAATGAGGATCACAGCTCCCTCCTGTGCCCTTGTGAAGCAGGTTAGGCTGAGAGGCATCAACTCTCAGCAAGCTTTGAGGCCGAGTGGAGGAATCTGAACCCTGGTCTCCCGAGTCCTAAACCCTAAGGCAGTGGTTTTCAATCACTGTGCTGTGGCACCCTGGGGTGCCTTGAATGATGCTCAGGGTTGCCACAGGTAACACTGGCTTCTGACCCTCTTCCCTCCCTCCTGATTCCCTCTCACATCTTTGCCTCTCAAAGGCTTGCACAGCTGCTTGTTGCAGTCCTGGCTACAAGCTCCACAGGTGAGCCTTGCTCTGGGGCCTACAAGCTCTGGGGCCTTGGAGCAAGCAAGCAAACAGGTGAGGGAGCCCACCCAGCCAATCCGCCAGCCCTTGCTGTTGGGAATGGACAGACAAGTCCCAGGGCAGTGTGAGGAGGTACCTCTCTTTGAGGGGACAGCTAGGAGACCAGGCACAGTGGCAGCAGCTGCCCGGAGGACTCCCAAGAAGAGGGGAGAGGAAAGGAGGCCGAGGGGATGTTCCACAAGGGAGGGTGTTTGAAAAAGGGTGAGAGGCTGCCAGCTCTGCAGGCAAGGGGAGACATAACTGGGCTTCTGAGCCCCCACAGGGTTGCCGCAGAAAGAATGTCGGTGGTCAAGGGAGACATGGACTCAAAAAGTTTTAAACCTTTGCTCTAAGGAATGCAACTGAGAACTAAGCCAGTTGGGACACTGCAAGGGCCTATCCAGCTCTGCCCAGCCCTACAAAGGGAAGCTCGGAGGCCAGGTTTCAATCAGAGGCTGAAGAGAGAATCTTGCCAAGGATAGCGCCTGCTCCCTCTCCATCTCTGTCCTACTCACGCTGCTGCCGTCGGAGGTTCACCTCTTGCCCGCCATGGATTCCCTTCCCACTCTTCTGAACTGTTTCAGTTGCTGCTTCTGAAACACGAACCTTGCCTGTCCCTGCCTTGGACTCCAAAGAACTAGGACCTCATTTCCCCCAGACATGGGGGTCTGAAGCCCACCAGAACCTGTGAAAAGGGGTCCTTAAGGGGTATGGCTTGAAGTCTAGGCAGCTGGCCCAGAGGTCAGAACCCCTGGCTGTTGGTGGCCAGTGTTTTTCTTTTTTAAAAAAATATATATTTTTATTCATTTTACAATACAAAAATATAAAAACGCATAACAAAGTTTTTCACAAATACATTTTTTTGGACTTCCCTCAGCTCTTCTGCAAATCCTCCGTTTTAATCCTTCTTCCACATTTCTTAATTTAATATTGCCTTTTATTAAAAGCCTCCTCCCTCTTATTCCTTTTTTACAATATTTCTAATATTTTTTTTTCACAGAGCCTCTTGCAAACCTACAAACGTTATTTGTTCATCGCATATACTTTTCAAATAGTCTACAAATTTACTCCAGTCTTCAGTGAATCTGTGGTCTCGTAGGCCTCGAATCCTTCCTGTTAATTTATCAAGGTGGCCAGTGTTTTTCTTGGTTGGTTTGGAACTCTATATTGGAGTGGAGAACATGCGGCCCTCCAAGCCTCTCCATCTGGCCCCCTGATTTCTGCCTAGGCAACACCCCTCGAGTCCTGCTCTGCACCTTCCTTGGGTGTTTTTGTCTGGCTGAACTGTGTCCTTGAACTGTGATAAGGCCTCTTGCTTGCCTGGATGGAGGGGGAAGGGGGAAGTCTGGCCTACTAGTATACGGGCCCCCGAAGGTAACTTAGGAGGGAGTGTGGCCCTCTGCCTGGAAAGTGTTCCCCATCCCTGCCCTGTATCTGTTGGAACTCTTTTTTTTTTCTTTTTTTTTAAGGCAACCGGGTACGGACACACAGTTTTGCAGCACCAGAAACTAGTTTGAAACTTACTTGACAAGAGAACCAGCCTTCTGGTGTGCAAAGACAGACCTTCTTGTCTTCTCTCCTGTCAAAATAACAGCCATTGTACCTCTCTGACTTTAATTTCAACAGCATCTCTTCCGCAATCTCTTTGAATTTAGCTTGGACGGCCGGGTGGAGTGCGGAAGCGTAGTTGCTGACCTGTGTTTAAAACAAAACAAACAAACAAAGCTGTGGCGTATTCATGTATTTGAGGATTCCTACCCTATGTTTTGGCTGAATGGATCTTCAAGGTGGTTCACAAATGCACTGGGTGGTATTCAGCTAAGTTTTACTCTGAGGTGACCCATTGAAATGAATGGGTCCAGTTTAGTCATGTTCATTCACTACACTGAGGCTGCTCTGAGTACAACTAAGCTTGAGTGGAATCCACTAACTAAAAGAAAAATGTAGATGAAAATGTAAGATGGGTAGCTAGCCCCTCTGCCCCCAAAATCTTCAAAAAATGATTTTTTGTGCCATATAAGACCCCCTCAGACTTGTGATTTTAAATATTTGTGTGTGTAATCGGACAGTCCTGTGTCCAGGAGGGTCCCCTACTGTGTAACTCCCCAGCTACTTCCCATTTATAATCATTATAATACTGTTTAAATATGACCTTTAAAACTTTTACTAGCTGCTTCCATATGGCCCTCCCTGCGATAACTGATGCATCTAAAAGGTGAACTATGGGCTGCATCAAACATGCATTACCTCTTTCATGTAACCTCGGATCCTGCTCTCACAGCTGTAGCGCATGTAACTGGACTTTGTCTTAAAGCGAGAGTCAACCCCTAGGAGAGAGGGGGGAAACCCCATTAACCTTCTACCCGCATCTATAAAACAGGCCCTTCTTCTGAAAGCAGTTCTGAAGCCTTTTTAATACCCAAGGTGTGGGGCGAAGAACCCCTATTTGATCTTACCCTGTACAGGCAGTGTGGTGTAGTGGTTAGAGTCCCAGATTATGTATTTCAGGCCTGAGTATTTCAGGCCTTTGGCTCAAGATCATGTCACTATCTCTGCATGAGCTGAGATTGAGAGGTGTGCAGGAATCAATGCTTTGTGTTGGGCTTCCTCTTCCAAGGGGCTTTGGACGCACCCAAAATGAAACATCGACTCCCTTGCAAGGTAGTAGACTCTCCTTCCTTGGAGGTTTTTAAAGAGAGGTTGGGTGGCCATCTGTCAGGGATTCTTTAGCTGTGATTCTTGCATGGCAGGGGGTTGAGCTAGATGACCCTTGGGGGTGCCTCCCAACTCTGTGATTATATGAAAAGTGTAATGTTTAGCAAAGAATAAGAAGAAAAATACAACCCTCCTTAAGGGGCGTGTCGGCACCGAGGCAGAGCTCACCTTCGAACCATCTCCCATCTTCCTCTCTGCTTTCCCCTGAAATATTTTCACTGAGAGTCTGAATGAGGTCAGCCAGCAGCTTCCGTCTCTTGGGGGCTTCCTCGTCAGAGAGCAGCCCCTGAGCTGCGCGAATAACATCATCCGTTCGGCTAGAAAAGGCATCAAGAAACCGCTGGATCTCGCTCACATCTGCAAGGTTGTTAGAGTGGGGGGAGGGTGTGTGCAAAATTATTTGGGGTTGCTTGTTCCTGCTTTAATCAAGATAATATTTTACATTATTATTAATGGTAGTGAAAATAATCAGTAATTAGTATTAAATTTTAATCAGTATTAACAGCAATAATGAAACGCTTAACATTTTCAAAAAGCTCTCAAGCATTCAAAGCATTTGCAATATCTGACTAATCTGAATGCATCAAACCTGGATTTATCTGAGTCAACATGGTTATATTTGTGGTGCGACCAATTACAGTAATTCATGAAAGGAAGGGAAGAAAGAGAAAATTTCTGCTTTGTACAAAAGTCAGCATGTTTGATGTGACCCTTAAAATATGCATGCTCACCAACAACGGAAATTTCCCAGTTAACAATATTATTTCATAATTTATTAATTTCATACAACGCTATGTGATATTTGTTGGCTGGGTTATGTGCATACACTCAAAATGCATGAGGACGGTGGATGTTTTCAGGCAGAGGAATAGAACAAAACTCCCTGTCCTACTCACAGCCATGCCAGCTCTCTCCTGGGGGTAGCAAGATGAGTTCTGAATGATCTGGAATATGCTGAAAATACCCTTCCGTCACCTCTGTGCCATCCTCATATAAGCACAGCCGGCAGTCAGTGTAAGGGAGCTGTTGGGAAGGTGACACAAGGCACATGGAGTCAGGGCAGCCGTCACAAGACACAGGAAGATTCCCCCGCCAGCCCTCTCCCCAGGCCAACTTTTATTCTTTTCTTACATTTATGTCCCACCTTTCTTCCGCCATAGAACCCAAGGTGGTGTGTATGTGGACTCCCATCCAGTCCTCACTCCCCAACCGGCTTAGCTTCCGCAAGGAGGTGGCCTCATCCTAGCCAGAGCACTGGGGTTTTGTTCAGATGCCACCCTAAATCAGTTTGCTTGCTCTAAACCAGTGTTTCCCAAACTTGGCCCCTGGCTTTTTTTGGACTACAATTCCCATCATCCCTGACCACAGGTCCTGCTAGCTAGGGATGATGGGAGTTGTAGTCCAAAAACCGTGGAGACTCAAGTTTGGGGAACACTACCCCGCTTTCCTGGATTAAAGAAGGGAGTTCTATATGCCCCTGGGATTCCCTTCCAACTCCAGTTCTGTGATTCTATTAACAAGCAACTTGAGCACCTGCAGTTCCTCAGCGGCTCCAGCAGGGGCCGCTGCTTGCACTTGATTTCCGCGGCGGTCCTAAAGCCCGCTGTATACCCAACCACCTCAACTGCACCTGCAGGAAGGCGCAGGCCTTGGAGAGCAACTCCTTCAGGCTTCTTGCCGCCACTCCGAATTTCCGATCGCTGCCGAGGCTACGGATTTTGAACGCTTTGGGTGCCATCGCGCCGCAGACGGGGCTCGAACCCGCAGAGCCTAGCTTCCGGGTCTCGGCCCCGAAAGGAGTGGGGCTCTGATTAGTCGACAGAAGTGCTTGTCAAGCGTTAGGACCCGCCTCTGTCCTCCCTTAAAGGAATAGATTATTTTTATTGGTCAACATCGATCCGCGACCGATAAGAAAAGGTTTAAGGAAATGATTAATTGGCTACTTTGAGGACAATGCTACCTTAGCACCGAATACAGTACTTCCTTATTTAAGCTGGCAAATCTGTTTTATTCGTTTTCTTTAAGCCGCATGCGCAGAAGGGTCTTTCCCGCCTCAATAAAAACGGCCAGGCTTGATCATTCCCAGTGCGCATGCTCACCCCCTTGCAGCAAGCTTTCGCCATGTTAGCTTAGGGAGTGGTGCAGTCCTTCAACGCATGCGTGCAAATGTATTTTGGGCATGATCAAAGGCTCCGCCCCCAGCTGGTCATAGAGATATAAAATAGTAGAGTCGTACTGCCAAGTATACTTTCTCGGACCTTTTAAATGCAATGCGCGGGCTGAGTTATGGATGTTTCTTATGAATTACTTCATCCCAAAGTCAGAAAATATTTATTGTAGGTCCCTCATCATCACTACATTTTTTTTTTTTTGTTCACACAACAACCCCGTGAGTTAGATCAACCTGAGAAGTAATGCTTTGAATGTCCAGTGTATGAGTATCATTCATCCCTAGAGGCCAAAGCGGCGGGGGGGGGGGCTGCTATAAAGTTCAAGTGTCAACATCAGATGGGAGTTGGCCCCTGTGAAGACAAGTGCTGGACAAGAGGGGCCACTGGCTTGATCCAGCAGGCTCTTTTTTTGTTGTTCCTATGTTGACAACGAACACCCATACCAAAGCACTAGAGAACATGCTTTGCACTTAAAATGTCTCAAAGAAGATCATTGCTGCTGCTTGAGAAACGTAAAAAAAATGAGCAGGTTTAAGAGAAGACAGCTAATAACTCAGGTCCCTATGAATTTGATATCGATAGTTGGTTTCTATTTTAATATTGTTTCAATATTTTAATGTTGTATTTTAATTTTGTTTTTAAGTTGTAATCATTCAACTTGTTTTTATTATTGCTTGTAAGCCGCTCTGAGCCCGGCCTTGGCTGGGGAGGGCGGGGTATAAATAAAAATTATTATTATTATTATTATTATTATTATTATTATTAAAATTTGCTGCCACTGAAAATGTTACTTTCCTTACGTAGTATTTGGGGCTTGATTTCTCCCCATTCCTTCCCCTCCAGCAAAAGGTGGGGGCGGACTTCTGCTAGATTAGTATACAGTATTTTTTTTAGCCTGAGTCCTTGCTCTGAAGCAAGGATTGTCTCCAAAACTGAAGCCTTTCGTGTATGTGTGAATGTGTGCGTGTGTTGATTGTTAGACTGTGTACACCCTTAGAAATTTGATTAAAAAATAAATAGCGGGATATAAATGGTTCTAAATAAATAAAATGAGTACATTACCATAACTGATTTGTTTATTATTATTTCTATGTTCCCGCAGCACCTTCCTCTACCTAACAGCGCAGGGGCGGAAAGGGTGCGAAGCAGTAAGGAGGCGAAAGGGCAGAGCGCCGCCGCGCGAAAGAGAGCGAGACCGCGCTTGCTGGCGAGCCCAATGGCCGCGTGCCATTGTTTTTCACCGGAACTTCCGTTTGGCGCGTCGGCTTCCTCGGATAGCCTTGATCTCTTTTTAGTCTCCGCCCCGCCGCTCGGCTCGCGCCTGCGCAGTAGCGTCCAAGTGGTTGCTAGGAGAGCAGTGGCCCTAGTGATGGAGCCGGAATAAAGTAGGTAGGAAGAATGGAAGAGAGAGAGAAAGAAAGAAAGAGACAAAGCGAAGAGGGGCGGGGAGGGAAGGCCGCGCCTCCTGCTCCCCTTAGGAGCCCCTCCCTTTTGGGGAGGGGGAGGAAGGTGTCGGCCCCTCCCTCATCCTTAGGTGGGGGGGGGAGGCGACCATAATAGAAGGTTGGGGGTGAAATGTGGGTGGGCATTTATATATTTATTTCATTGCATTTATATCCCACATTTTTCCCCTCCAAGGAGCTCAACGTTTCCCCCCCTCCTCATTTGGTCCCCACATCAACCCTGCGAGGTAGGCTAGGCTGAGAGGCAGTGGCTAAGTGTCCAGGGCAACTTCCAGGGAGCTTCATGCACAGCCAATGAATGAGTGGGGATTTGAACCCGGGCTTATGGGTCTCCTTTCCCCCCTGCTAACCCCACAGCAGCCTTGTGAGGTGGGTTAGGCTGAGAGGCAGCAACTGCCTCCTCCCTCACCAAGGTTACCCTGGGAGCTTCATGGCCAAGTGTGGAGATTTGAATCCTGGTCTCTCCCAGGTCCTAGCCCACACTCTGGCCACTACGCCGCACTGCCTCATGGTTTATGCCTTCCTGGCATGTTTCAACATTATTTGCCTCCCAGAAATGCAAAATGCAGCTCACAGGTGCGACAGCGATTAAGAACTTACGATACTCATATAATGGGTGGGCAAGTCATATAAGAGCCTGTGGCTCCCCAGATGCTGTTGGACTCCCAGCAGTCAGCATGACCAAAGTGATGGAACAATATCTAGGGGAGGTCACAGATGTTTATCATCCGTGCTCCATGGCAAGTTATTTCCAATCAATCTGGAAATCCAGAAGCCACGTTTTGTACCCTTGAGGAACTTTTTTTAAAAAAACATATTCAAGCTTTACATTGTTAGCCTATGGAACTGTCTACCCACAAGATCTGGCTTTGAGGGTCAGTTGACTATGCTTTATCCTTTATTAGTTTATCTAAACGTTCATAAGAATGTAAGACGAACCTTGCCGAGTCAGAGCAAAGGCTCTTCTAACTCAGCGTCCACACCCCAAATTGGCTAGCCTGATGCTTCCTGATAGCCTGCAAGCTTGTCTTGTGCTGCTGGGATTCTGAGAGGCAACTGGTTGACCAAAGTGCTTGACCATGTGGACCTCTGGTCTTATCTGGCAGTGGTGCTCTTGCATTCTTAACTTGAAGAATATAATTTCAAACTTCAATTGTTAAAAATCCATAATTTTGCATGTCTTACTCTAAAATAATGTTGAATTATTTTTAAGAAAATAAGAAGAGCCTGCTGGAAAAAGCCAATGACACATCTAGTCCAGCATCCTGATCTCACAGATGTCTGTAAGAAACCTGCAAGCAGGACCAAACACAAGAGCACTCTCCTGTGGTTTCTAGCAGCTAGGGTTCAGAGGCATGGTGCCTCTGACAGTGACAGCAAAGCATAGCCCTAATGGCTAGTAGCCATTCATAATATTTCGTAGACTTATCCTCTCTAAGTTTTATCTTATATTTTAAATCCACCCACAAGTCAGTGGCTACCTCTGCCTCCTGTGGAAGCGAGCTCCGTAGTTTGTAACTGCGTGATGTGTGAATAACTTTTCTTTGATCTGACCTGAATTTTCCAGCATTCAGCTTCATTGGATGCACCTGAGTTCTAGTGCTACGGGAGAAGGAGGGAGGGGGAATCTCTAACCACTTTCTCTATGCCATGCAAAAATACTTATAATTATAAAGCATATTTCTTTTTTCCCAGTTAGTTCAAGAGGGCAGGATGCCGCACAAGATTGGGTTTATTGTTGTAAGTTCATCAGGGCATGAGGATGGCTTCAGTGCGAAAGAACTGATGGTCCACGCCCCAACCATCAATGGCTGGAGGTCACCAAGGTACTGTAAGTGACAGAAATTTTAGGAAGCACTTTGCCAGTTTTAGCGTTGTCAGGCTTGTGGGTTGCATGCAGTTTCCCTGGCACCTCTGGATGGGGCCTTGCTAGAATCCTGAGGCCCTCGCCTTTGATTTTAAGAGCGTAGTTTCTGTCCATCACAGTTGAACTGCATGGGGGGAAGGGAATGATTACTTAGGAGCCGGGAACATAAGAACTTTGGCTTGGGGTGCTGAAGCACTTGGGATGTTTCATTCATTCCAGGCTCTGCCAGTATCCCCAAGAAATTGTCCTTCAGATGGTGGAGCGATGTAGGATTCGAAAACTGCAGTTGCTGGCTCACCAGTACATGATTTCTAGCAAGATTGAATTCTACATCAGCGAGAACCTGCCTGAATATTTTGCACCATACAAATCAGAGAGGTTCCGAAGGCTAGGGTAAGTCTCCCCTCTCTGCAAAATGAGCCAGGCCTCAGTTCCTCATTTGCTTGGGGCAAGCAAGTTGTTTCTTAGGGTAGAGGAGTTGGTGAGCTTCTACTGGGCAGAAGCAGCAGGGACACTGCGTGGATTCTTACAGGGTTTTCTAATAAGCCGTATCCATTCAGGGGATCCGTGTTTCTTGCACAGCCCAAGTAAGCCCGTGGAAGCACACACAAGCTCACACAAGTTAGTTCCATTTTCTTCACTCTTGGTTTAGGGTTCTGATCACAAGGCAGGTGTCGGGGGGACCATCTGGATTCAGGATAAGAAGCCTTTCTAGCAGGGCTGTACCATACGGAGCAAGTTTGTTTTCTGCTGCTGTTAATTTCAGGCACATCTTTTTTCAGAGAATAAAGTCTTGCACTCGCCGTGTTTTGATTTTGGGGTGCACAATGCACATGTCAGTACCAGGATGTCTGCCCTTGATGCTTTAAATGTGATCACGTATAATATGTCTTTTTTCTTCTCTACTGTGATCGCGTATAATATTGTCTTTTTTTTTTTTCTACACCCACCGCTTGCAGTTATGTGTCTCTCTCAAATAATGAGAAAACTGGCTACAAGGCGCGAGAACTGAAATCCGTCTACGTAGATGCTGTTGGCCAATACCTAAAGTTGACGTTCCACAAAAACTATGTCAATAGGTACAACCTGTACAGTCAGGTAAAATGAACCAAAAGGCTGAGGGGGTACTTCATGTTTTACTCGTCTTTCTGAAAAATGAATCTCCACCCAAGGAAGGCACAGCTTTTGAAGTAGCTGTGAGGTTTTTGTTTCTCTGTTTGGGGGACAGTTGCTGTTTTGTTTGCAGATCCCAGCTTTTCTGCACAGCTCTCATGGCTAATGCTTGCCCTCACACAAGGCCTCCACCCAACCTCTTTTCAGCAGGACATGCTTGACCCATTGAGTGTTGTCTGACTAAAAGTGTACTGCCTTGCACACTTACCTGGAAGTAAACCCCACTGAATACAGTGGGGTTTATTTTTGAGTAAACATCCTCAGGATTGCATGGGAAACCCCACCTGCCTGTTGCCCACTCCAAAATCTGTGATGAGGTCTTCAGTGTGGAGGATCTCATGAGGTCACAACACCTGAGATGGCAACTTTTGCAGAACTAGTTTTTAAAATACTGGCAGCCAGACTTTCAAAGCACTCAGGACTTCTCTTCAGATTTTAGGAGTTCAGTGTCATCATTATGAAAAAGCATGATGGTGTTATTTCGCTATTCAAATCCATGGCAATACAGTGGATGCTCGCGTTGCGAATGTGATCCGTGCGGGAAGCACATTCGCAACCCCGCAGCGGCACGTCTGCACACACGCGGGGCACGATTCGGCGCTTATGCGCATGCACAAGCCCCGAAACCCAGAAGTAACCCGTTCCGGTACTTCCGGATTCGGCACTGTGCGCAACCCGAAATCACGCAACCGGAAGTGTCTGTAACCCGAGGTATGACTGTAAATAAAACACATAATAGCACTCAGCCTCCCTTTTGTCTAGATTATCTCTCACCAGTGGGGCGTATGCTTTTATTGTGTACAGCTCAATTGTTGACGGCCTTGGATGTAAGCTTTGCAAAAAGATGAGAAAGGAACTGTAATAACATCAAGTCAATACGCTGGAGAATGCATTGGGGGAGAAAGAAATGACTTTTAGCCGACAGGGAACAAAAACTGAAAACGCTTTAGGGATTCTGATAGTATGAGGAAGAATGAAAGAAGGCATTTCTACATCTCCAGCACCCTTGCTTCACCGAATCAAGGGTGCTGGAAATGCAGTGTGCTCGATCCAGAGATTCTGAGGTTGCGGCCAGTGATTATTATCCTGCAACATCTGTCAGGCCACAGATTCCCCAGCCCTGTCCTAAAGGAATCTTAGGACCCAGGGGTTGGATGAATAAGTTTTCAAGAGGTTGGGGGTGGAGATGGCACTGTAGCTCAGCGGTGGAACATCTGCTTTCCATGCAGAAGGTCCTAGTTTCAATTCACCAATATTTCCAGGTAGGGCTAGCAAAGACCCCCTACTGCCAGCCTGTGTAGGTAGAGCTGAGCCATTTAAACCAGATTGCTATCTTCTGGGGGTGGGGCTCTTTGCCCTATTGCAAAACCAGACAAAAATGTGCAAAATAGGTAAAAATAGCAGGAATAGGCCCAATTTGCATTGATTATTTATGTCACAGCACTGAGCTTTCCCTGCTGCAGAATTTCACTTCTTTTAAAAGGCATAGAAGGAAGCCTGCCCATTTTTCCTTTTCCTTTTCCTTTTAGGTTGCTCTTGTAGCAATAAATATCATTGGAGAGCCTGCAGATGCCAGCAATGACACTAATCATGTAAGTATATGAAGTAATGAGCTGAGGGAAACCCTGGACCACCTTTACCTTCAGTTAGGGGGGTGGTTCAGTCATAATGCCAAGCCGGTCCTGGTTTCCGGTCCTGGTTTTTAGAGGGCGGGTGCAAGCTGCAGTCTGCCGGTTCAGACAAAGAGCAAAACCGTGGTACACCTCAGATCAGGATTGGTTGCTGGGAATCGCAACCTGATAGGTTCCTCCTCTCGTTATTCATGTAACGAAAGCAAAGGAGAGAGAGCCTATGCACAGGGATTCAAGGCAGCTTACAGCTGAAGTAGAAACAGCTAAAAACATAGGAAAAAAGCAATAATTAAAAAAACAAGTAAAGATTAATAGAATAAATGTACATAGGATCTAATTATATCATTCATATCGTTAGAAGGGTACTACTTGCCATTCCTGGATGTAGGCTTGATTGTGATTTGTGGGATGCCCCCTGACTTTTATCTTTCCGAAGTCTTCTAGAGAGAAGCTGATCGACCATTACCTTGGGAACAACCCAGATGACTCGGCCTTGGATGGAACGTACACCGGGTAAGGATGAGGAAGGGCCACAGCTCAGTAGTACAGCAGAAGGTCCCAAGTTCAAGTTGAAAGCTTTTCTATTCCGCCAGGCCTCTTCGGGCAGAAAAGAGTTCATCCTTCCACAATGGTTTATTGATGCTTGTTTTTTAAAAACTTCTTTTTGCTTTTAAGTTGTTCTTAGCTTTTTAAAACGCTTTTATTGTTTGGTTCTAATCTTTTTAATGTTTTAAACCACTTTGATTTTTTTAATGATTTAACGGTACAGAAATACATTTTAAAATATATAAATAATAACCCATCAACTCCAGGTGGGGCTGGAAGAAACTTATTGCCTGAATCCTGGGAGAGCCCCTGTCAGTCAGTGAAGGACCAGTGGTCTGACTCGGAAACATAGGGAGCTGCCTTACATTGTGTCCTAGCTGTCAGCCAGAGTTTCATTTCCCCCATCCCCTTGCAAATAATAAAATAAAATAAAATCCGGTGTCTTTCTTAAACAGCTCCCCTAAGTCCCTGTTATCCCTCTCCTTCCCAGGAAGCCAGATTTGATTTCACCACTGGATGACCTGGCTTTTGACATGTACCAAGATCCAGAGGTGGCGCAGATAATCCGCAAGCTGGATGAGAAAAAGCACGAAGCGGTGCGCCAGGAGCATTACGACCATGCCAAGAAACTCAAGCAAGCTATTGCAGACCTGCAGAAGGTAGGGCCAGAGCACGGTAGGGAAGGGCCACACACAGCCAACTGATTGTATTATTTGCAGCAGAGGTTTTTGCGGAGTGTCAGCGGTTACTCGTAATCACACACATTTCCCTGCTCGCTGAGGATTGCACACCCCGCACCTGATGAAGAGCACCAGTGGCCCTGCAGATGTTGTTGCACAACTCCCGTCCTCACCCTAACCATTGGCCATGCTGACCAGGGCTGATAGCAGTTGGAGCCCAACAACCTCGGGAGGAACCAAAGGTTCCTTACCTCTGCCAAAAATAAATCAGTTGCCCTCCTTGTTTAGGCGCAGCACCCATAAACTAATAAATGCAACAGCCAAACAAGAGCCCTTTTCCCCTCAGGGCCTCCACATTCATTTCTTCCTCTTTAAAAAAGAGTTTTTTTCCTTCACTTTTATGCAGGAGGGGTGAAGAGGCAACTATCCCCCAGAACCTTCCTGTGCTAAGAGTTTCAGCCTCCTCAGAAGGTGGGCCAAGAAACAGAGTTGCATTAAGTCAGAGTAGACCTGTTGGAATGAATGGACATGACCAACTTAGGTCCATTAGTTTCAAGGGGTCTTCTATGAGTAGGACTAATGTAGGATGCAACCTGGAGTTCAAGAACGTTCCTCCAGAAGGACCTTCAAGATGGGGACCTTTCCTGCTTTTCTCTCTAAAGATCTGAAATATCAAACCTAGGAAAGGAGGAGATGGTTTCTGTTTAGGGAGCTGACCCTTTTTTCAAGCCTGGAGGAACCAAGAAGATGTATCTGAAGGAAACTACAAAAGAGCCCGCCAGCTCTCTCTTAACACCAGCATGACAGTAAGAGAAGAAGGTTCTGCAACTTCCTTGTCTCTTCTCAGCTTTGGGATAAGCTGTGTCCACTGCAGAGAATTCGCAAGCCCATTGTTCCATTCCAGGCTCCAGCAGTGACCTCTGAACTCCCCCTTCTTCCAGGTTGGCGAGCGGCTGGGCCGCTACGAAGTGGAGAAGCGCTGCGCCGTCGAGCGGGAGGACTATGACCTCGCCAAGCAGAAAAAGCAGCAGATGGAGGAGTACCGTCTCAAAGTGTATCAGCAGCTGGAGCTGCACAATCTCCTCGACCCAGATCTGTTGGTGAGCAGTGTCCCTGGCAGGACGAGACAGGGAAGAGATTGACCTTGCCCAGCTCTTCCTGCCATGCAGTCCAGAAGTATTGAGGGAGGTTTGGGATTAGTGTATAGAGGAGCTGTCACTGAAGTCAGCTCCCATTGCAGCAAAGCTTTACTGTATGTTGGGGAGTGGTATAACAGGGATGGCTCCAGATACTGTTGGACTCCCAGCTCCTATGACCAGTGGCCAGGAGTGAGTTGTTGTCCCAGGACAACTGGAAGAGTCTCCCACAATTGCTGCATGGCAAAATCTCTCTAGATGCACTTTTCTTCTCCCTCTCGTTCTCTCAGATCCGGCGGCCTCCCGACTTGCCTCTGGAACCTGTGGCTTATCCCACCGCTTCTCCCCAGCAGAAAAGGCCTCTGCTTTCGCCCCGGTGGGACAAAACTGAAGCAGAGAGTCCTGAGCCGCCGCCTCCTGAAAAGCCACCAGAAGCTCCTTCACCAGAGCCCGTTGCAGCTCAGGCCATCTCTCCTCCCGCCGCCCAGGCCCCCATCTCCACCGAGGCTTTTCCAAAGATCAACGTAAGTCTGGTTTTCCATGTGTCCTGCAGATTAACGCCCTTCTGCACACAGCTGACACTGGGTATTTCTGTGGCCTCTTTTTTGTTTTCCTTCTTTGTTCTGAGGGCGGAGAGCAATTGTGCCTGCTTTCAGTTCAGCTGGGCTCACTGATTGCAGTTTCTGTAAACCATCTAAGGCTGGGGATCCCTTTGGGCTGCTGAATGTTTCCCAATTGAGGTGCAGCCTCAATTTTTCTGACTTCAGAGTCAGAAAAATAACAAAGGAATTGTAGGAAGTACATAGCTTGGGTAGAAAAGTTTATCGTCCTAGAGAAGGCAAAGGCAGCCAAGCTTGGTCCTTTGTTCTCAGAGGATAGTTCTAAGTGACTTCTCATCTTGAGGTCTGAGAGAACAGGGTGAGGAGGAAGTTGCAAAACACGAAGCGACCTAAGATGTATGAGTTCAGATAACAAAGCAATAGAGAAGTCATCATAGAGATGAAGGTACAGGGAAAGTCTGGGAAGCTGGAGGTCCCTAACTCTTTCTGTCTTAACCCCATGTGAACCCCTTATTCTGTTTCCTGAATTGGACCCAATTTCCCAACATTTATTTGCAAGGGGGATGTTGGAGCAGATCACCATTTTTGTACTAGTTCTGTGCTCCCATGGCTAGTGAAGCAAGGGAAGGGCTACAGCTGAGTGACGGAGCATCTGCTTTGCATGCAGAAAGCCCCAGGTTCAGTCCTCAATGGCATCAAGTAGGGCTTGGAATGTCCCCTGCCTAAAAGACTGGAGATCCGCTGCCAGTCAGTGTATACAGTACGGAGCTAGTATTTTTTAAAAAACAGCGTCTTCTCTCTCTCTTTCTCTCTTTTTCTCTGCTAGGTTGAATTCTTACCTTACGATGAGAGGCCCCTCCCAACTATTCGTAAGCAGCAGGAGGAAGGCTTTCCCTACTTGGACCCTGAGATGAACGAGGAGGACCCTGGGGACACCCCGAGAAGTGGTGTCGTCGGAGAGCCAGAGCCGCTGACCGAGAAAGCTCTGAGGGAGGCCAGCTCAGCCATTGAAGTGTTTGGGGAAGGCCTGGTAAAGACCTCGTAAACGTAGCTTAGTAATGGCAGGGCAAGCGCATTACTTTCATGTACAAAGAGTACCCTTGCACATTGCAGGATTGAGCCCTGGATAAGTGGTGCAGATTGTACAAAGAAAATTGAATTGACAATTGTTTCTGTTTGAGCCAAAATCAGCTACCCAGGCCTCTTGGTCTGGCTTCTGGGGCTCTTTCCAGCCCCATACAGGTAACCTGGGGTGGCACTGAGAGTCAACCCTGCTCCTAGCTGCATAAATTCATCTTGAGTTTTGTTCCTCAGGCACGCCAGTGTGTGATATTTATTTATTTATATGCTGCCTTTCGACCGAGAAACATCCCAAGAGAGCTCACAAGCAATATAAATGCAAATGCAAACCTACCAGTCAAAATATAGTGCAATACCATAAACATCAAACTAAATTGTAACATTTCAGAAGCGTTAACATGCGTTCATTTTCCTGCCATAAAAGCATCAGAGTAATTCCCAAAAAAACATTAGTGGAGAGCAAGAATAAGAACTTAAACAGCACCTCCTCCTTTAAAGGGTTCTTGGCAGGGGAGTGGGGCAAGGCAGGTGGAATCACTTGCCCCTGGTGGCTCCAGCCGTCTCTCCCCTGCAGCAGTACTGGCCAGGCTCTTCCTGATGAAAGAATGACAGGTGTTGGCTTTTGTGCAGATCTGGGCTGCTCCAGCTCCTGAACATTCCCCTTTTCCCAGGTTGCAGGGGCCTATTCCAAGACATGGTCCTACCGCGAAGACTCGTTGCTCGCCATATACAAAAAAATGACGGAAGTATCCACAAACACGCCAAAGGATGACCTGAAGAACCTCCTTCGGGGCGCCATCTTCCTCATAGTGAGAGCCATAAAAGACATAGTCTCCTCGGTGAGCAATATCAGGGGGGTCGGGTCTAACATCCCTGTGAATGCCCTCTTCTATATCTCCTAAATGAGAATGTGGGGGAACTCAGTGGCGGGGTCCAGTGACTCCCAGTTTCAGATAGTTGTAAAGGTTTCCACACGCAGCAGCCCCATGCAATCGAAATTTCTCTCCATCTTGACCACAGTTCCTATTTTAACCACCTTGATGGTTTCCTTCTGGTAGGTTTTTCAAGCTTCCTTAAAGCTCCTAAAGATGATCATCACGCAGTACATCCCCAAGCATAAACTTGGGAAGCAAGAGACCACTTACTGTGTGGAAAGGACCTTTCCCAACCTTCTCTCCAGGACGGGGGACTCCTCTGCCCGCCTTCGTGTAGCGGCTGCCAACTTCATCCAGGTCAGTCTAGTCAATACACAAAGACTTGCAGCTGCATGCAAGTGTTTGCCTGAACACATGACGTTCAAGGTTCATGCATTGATCACTCAACTGCATTACTGCAATGCACTCTCTGGGGGGCTTCACTTGCGCATGATCTGGAAGCTGCAAGTTAGTGCAGAATGCTGTGGCACGATTGCTGACAGGTATCTTAAAAAGCAGAGACATCACCTTGCCAACAAAGGTCCATATAGTTAAAGCCATGGTTTTCCCAGTAGTGATGTATGGAAGTGAGAGCTGGACCATCAAGAAGGCTGATCGCCGAAGAATTGATGCTTTTGAATTATGGTGCTGGAGGAGACTCTTGAGAGTCCCATGGACTGCAAGAAGATCAAACGTATCCATTCTTAAGGAAATCAGCCCTGAGTGCTCACTGGAAGGACAGATCGTGAAGTTGAGGCTCCAATACTTTGGCCACCTCATGAGAAGAGAAGACTCCTGGAAAAGACCCTGATGTTGGGAAAGATGGAGGGCACAAGGAGAAGGGGACGACAGAGGACGAGATGGTTGGACAGTGTTCTCGAAGCTACAAACATGAGCCTGACCAAACTGCGGGAGGCAGTGGAAGACAGGAGTGCCTGGCGTGCTCTGGTCCATGGGGTCACGAAGAGTCGGACACGACTAAACGACTAAACAACAACATGGAACAACTGTGTGTATCTATGTCACTACAAAATACTCCTCTTCTTTGTGTAGGTCTGAAGTAAAACCTGTAAGGCTCAAACCACTGCTGAATCTTGCAGGGCTTGGGAGGGCAGTTCTCAGTTTTGCTGAGTTGTGCCTTTGTGGGCCGCATGTTAACCGCTGACCCGAGCGTGCTGTGTCTTTTCCATCTCCCTCTAGGAAATGGCCCTCTGTAACGAAGTGAAGCCTCTTCAGATTATACCTGCTCACCTGGTGCAGCCTGTGAAGCCAAATTCTCCTACACATCTTGCAATGAGCCAAGTGGAATTAGTGGAACGCTTGCTGAAAGACCTGGGGACGGATAACACCGGTTTTACTGTCGATAACGTCATGCGGGTAGGGAGCTGAGCTTCCAGTGGTTTCTGAATCTGTCTAAGACGGCTTCCTGCATTCCTAATGAAGCCGCTTACTCTAGGTGCAGCACAAACTGTGCAGTTGTGCTTATACATTCATACCCCACTCTCCTTCTTTCTCAGTAAAATCACTTAGAAAAACTTCTTTGGAGGTGGGAGGTGTGTTGTTGATGTTGCAGGCATTAGCCACTAGCACCCTGCACAGCCAGCTTTTTTCTAACACACTGGAAACCTGTAGAACCTATTTCCCCCCAGTTTTTCAGCACATTGAATGTACACTTAAACCACCTCCATAAGACTCACAAAACGACTGCATGTTTTCTTCACCCTTAGTTTGCAACAGGAGCTCTGGAGCATCGAGTATATGAGGTCCGGGAAACAGCCCTCCGGATCATCCTGGATATGTATCGGCAGCACCGAGCCGTCATCCTGGATTACCTTCCTCCTGATGATGCCAACACACGCAAGAACGTTCTGTATAAGACGCTTTTCGATGGGTTTGCTAAAATAGACGGCAAACTCACAGAAGCAGAAATAAGGGTAAGAAATGCAACTTTTTTCAGGTCTTGTGGTTTTCATAGGGGCTGTGCTGACTGAGGCAGGAAAATGATGGCCAGTTGCTGAAAACCACAGGAAGGGAGAGTGCTCTTGTGCCACGATCCTGCTTGCCAGTTTCCTACAGGTTGGCCCCTGTGAGAACAGTATGTTGGACTAGATGGGCCATTGGCCTGATCCAGCAAGCTGTTACGTTCTTCTGTGTGTCAGGCTCAACCCATCAGGAAGGCAAAGTGACTCTTACTGGATCAGACCAAAATGCCATCTGGTTCAGCATCCACAATGACCAGCCAGATGTCTCCAGGTAGCAAGCCATAGAGGAAACAGGCCTCCCACTCCCACTGTTTGTTGGCGATGCCAGGTATCCATAGGTATAGTCTTGGAACTAAACAACCTGTTCTCCATGAATTTGTCAAATCCCTCTTGGAAAACAGCCTTGAAGGCAGTAGGTTTCATCTTGTGGCCGTGTCACCATTGGCTTTTGCCTCTGCTCTCTGACTGAGTAAATTCTGCAGGTTGGTAGACAGGTGCATTCAGACATTGTCCCTGACTTTGCTCAATGTTCCTCCTTTTCTTATTTTGATGCTGTGTAAGCTGAGAACTCGCAGAATCCTAGTTCCAGAAGACAATCAGGCCAGTGTTGTTGGTGACTCAGGCCCCAAACCCAGCAACCTACAACTGTGTGTGTTTTGACAGGCGCAGAGAAAGACGGCTACTGACGAAGCCGAAAAGCAAAAGAAAGACGAGATCAAAGTGTTGCAAGGTCAGCTGGCGGCTTTGAAGGACATGCAGACGGAAGCTCAGGCTGTAAAGGTATCTGATGGCCACCAAGGGTCTTAAAATGCTCTTCCGTTGCTTTATCCTTATGGATAGAAGGAAGTTATAGAACGTTTCTTTCATTCTCTTTTTTTTAAAAAATAATATTTATTAATAGTTTCTGAATTACAGAAAAAAATAAAAAATAAAAAACAACACTACAATGCATAAAAAAGAAGAAGAAAAGCAAAACATAAAAACCAATACAACAATACAGCAAAAAGATAAAAAAAGAAGAAGAAAGACACAAATCCCATATTACATATCTTTAACTTCCATTTGCTTGTTTCATTGACCTCCTCACACCTCCCTTTTTGTATTGTAGTTTAATTAGTTATTTCAGCAAATTCTTTCCATCTTTCTCAATTTTTATTAAATAATTTATCTTAACAATTTAACCTATTAATTAACTCAACAAATCCTTTCCATCTTTCCTCATATTCTGTTATTCAAATTACCTTAATTTATTTAACCTTATCTTACCGTAAAATACCTTAGAACTTGAAACTTAATACTCAGTTATACATAACTCCTGATATCATTTCTACTAGAGTCATATAATTTCATTCCAACATTTTCCCTAATATTCATTAATTTTAGGCTGATTCCCTAAATAAAAATTTTCTTTATAAATTTTCTTCCAATCTTCATCCAACGTCTCTTCTTCCTGGTCTCGGGTCGTGTCAGTCCTTACTGTCCATTCCATCTAGTCCATCAACCTGGTAATCTTATGTCCGAGGCCCTTAAGTCTCTTCCATGTCCCTTCTGCAGATCTTCTTCTTCTTGTTTATACTTGCACTTTTCCTTGTCTTTTGTTGGTCTCTTTCTTAATTTCTTTCCTTTCTCATTGAGGAGTAGGTCTCTGGGGGGTTCCAACCCAAAATTATCTCCGTCTCCCTTCATCAAACCAGCCCATTCCCCACAGTCATCAATGTAATCCAAGAAATATTTAAGAGCATATTTCAAAGTCTCTCCAAAGTTAAGAACCTCCTCAGCTCCAGACTCCCCCTGGCCCACTCCAACTTCAATCTTCAAAGACAGCGGCTTATGCTCCTGTAGGGCCTCAGGTCTCTCCATTTGTATTATTTGAGGTGCAACCGCAACCTCCTCCATTATCTTCTGCACTTGCCCAATCAATACAGGTTCCTGAGTTGGTCCCTGAATGTTTTCTGTATCAATATTCCCTGTTTGTCCACAGTTATTGACCACAACAGTCATCAAATCCATTTTCTCATTCATCAAATCCATCTTCTCATGCATCTGTTCCAACAAAGCACTTGTCTTGCATAAAGCAAGCACCAAAACTTCCTCCCAGCTCATATTTAGTCAAGGTCAAAAGGACTGGTCCCACGATCTTAATCTCACAGCTGTAGAGTCCTCAAGTAGACTTCAGCAACAATTTAGCAAGCTCCCTCTCGAGGAGACAATTTCTATTTGTATCCATCTTTTTAAGGCAAGTCCAACAAAGGAAAATTACTTTCATTTTTCAGATTTTTTTTAAGCTATCTGTCAAAGTATTCCATTCACAGTCAGTGAACCTCTCCAACAATTTCTGTCTCTGACACCCCGTTCCCAGGTTAGAGACGGTGGAAACTTATCCTTCTTCATTCCCTCTCCTGCAGGCGTTAAACAAAGTCCCCCCCCCCTTTTCTCCTGCTTCCAAGGGGGTTTCAGTAGTTATAAATGAAGGAAATTTAGACTTTTTTAACGACTTTCCAGGCTTTAGCTTACAAGGTTTTTGCTTCAGTCTATATACAAAAAGCAGAAGGCGGACTTCCTGTTTTGAACCTTCCCGCTTCGGTGCCAAATTAAGATATTTCTTGATCCAATTTTCTGTTTCTACTCACGGGTACTTGTTTTAAATCCAATTGTCCACAGGAAAAAGTCAGCGCTCTCCGGCAATGGCTGTGCGGCTTCACTCCGTGAAAGTAGCAATCAGTTCGCAGCACCGCGCCGCTCACCCCACTTCACTCCGGAATCCCAAAATGGGGTTCCCCGTGAGTAGGGGGGCGCTCCTGGTGCCCTGCCGAACCCCACGTTCCCAGGCTTCCTCCGCCTGGGATTTCTAGCGGGTCCCCACCTTCGCCGCGGCGGGAAGACCCAATTTCCACGGAGCCAGTTCCTCCAGTCGGAGGAACTCCGCCATTCGCCGATGGCGCTAACCCAGAAGTCCGTTTCTTTCATTCTCTCTCCCTGCCTTTTGAAATAGTATAACTCTTCCACTATTGGAGACTGAATGTGTATGCATACTACTGTCCCTCCTAGTCAAGCTGCTTTTGTGGTGCCTCAGGTACTACCAGAAGCTGGTTGGTGGCATACAGCATATATAAAAACACAACGAAACATCAGACATTTAAAAACTGAATATCCTACCACTTCAAATACAAAAATATAACAACCTCTCTCCTCCAGGATTGTTGCATCATTGAGATCTTTGGAAGCCTCAAATGAGCGACATCATGCTTCCTTAAACTGAGCCAGACAAGGCCAGCCCAAAACTTTCTTATCCAGTGGTTTCCATCCTTAACTTTGGGGAAGAACTGAAGCCCAAGTGAATTGCATGCAGAAGGTCATTCCTCAATATGCCCAAGTAGTGCTGGGAAAGACCCCCGTCTGAAACCCTGGAGAGCCATTGTCAGTTGGTATAGACCTGGGGTGGGGAATCTTTTTGACTCCACAGGCCACCATCCTTATCAGGATCAGCCTTGTGGGCAAAAAAAATGACACTTGGGCAGGGCCACGCACCTGCCAATCACCCAACATCCCAAGAAAGTCAAGTGCAAAGTGCTGTAGAAACACAGGTTTTTCCTCTGTTTTAGCGAAGGATTCCATGCAAACCCATTCCTGAATCAAACTCTGCCTCACGACAGCAATAGCTCTTTGCGGTCTCAAGCAGAGGGATTTGTTATTTAATATATTTTGTGGCAGAAAAGAGCAGGGACTGAGCCTGTGGCTTTCTGCATTTAGGAACATGTCTTTTACCAGATATGCCAACTGTCAATCATTGGGTTTCTGCTATGGCTTCAGCCACTTCCTTCTCCTTCCTTTTAATTCATTGTTATTAACCAGATTTCTTCTTCAATTCCTCGGTTGCTGAACAAAGAAAAGGATTTTGGCTGGAGAGAGGGGACTGATCTGTGATGCTCCAGATGTTTCTGGAGCCCAACTCCCATCATGCCTGGCCATGCTGGCTGAGATTGATGGGAGACGGAGTCCCAACAGCATCAAGGTTCCCTGCTGCATAAGCACTTACCTGGCAGCAAGTCTCCCTGAACTTGAGGCTGGCTTCTGTATAAACAAGTGTAAGAATGTACTGTTTGCGATTCTGTTTACATTTTTGTTTTTAATTTATTCCACTTTTCTTCTTCAGGAGAAAGAGAATGATTTTCAGAAGGCTCAAGGTAGGCACATTTTTTTAAACCCAATATCCTCTCATAGTACATGCCGTTTATAAATTGTATTTGTAAAACTGCATATTCAGTTCATCTTGAGTCTTGGATTGCCGTGGGTCAGAAGAAGTCAGAAAGCTGTAAACAGATATTAGTGGGGATACACATTATTTACATGTTAAGAATATTTTAAGTGATGGAAGAGAATTCCAAGTTACGTGTGTGCGGTGTAGTCTAAGGAAATGGGTGGGGGCATCCAAATTCCTCCCTCAGGTAACTCAGGAGCAGGTGAAATTCCAGCCTTCCATACAAGCAACTTTTCTTTTATTCTTACTTTATCCTTTTGCACAGATACTGCCTTGTTTGCCCTCTGTAGACGGGAGAAGGGCATTGCTGCGACATTGGAGGCTCATTTCACTTTCTCCTTTTCCAACGTGGCATATTCTCTCATATGCCAGCAAGTGCCCTTCTGCCTTCAACAATAGTGGGCAAGGCTGACGAATGTGTTGTATTCTTCCCAGCAATGAAATACATTGCACTCTGCAGTGCTTAGAAGATGTGACACCCCCACCAGGTGCACTGCTGTGAGGGATGCCCTAAGCTAGCCTTTTGCAACCTTGGGTTTCCAGATGTCGCTGGACTCCCATCGGCCTCATCCAGCATGGCCCAGTTTGTCAGGGATGATGGGAATTGTAGTTCAACAACATCTGGGAACCCTGGGTTGGGAAAGGCTGTCCTAATGCATCCTCCGCTAACCCCTCCCCACAAAGTGTCCTTTTTCACCAGAAAATATAGTCCAACACTGGTTTATTTCATTTCATTTCTTTTCTTTTTTTCTCCCCCCCTTCCCTTTATTTATTTATCTTTTTAAGCCGAGTTCTTGAAAAAAGCCCCACAGCCTTCAAAAGCAGACACTCCAGATGATCACACCTCAGTTGCAAATTACCTCGACAAGTAAGTAAGAAAAATATCAGTGAGCAGTTAGTTCCACAACAGATAAATCAGGTTGAATAAGTCAGAACTGCCCGTCTTTTGGCCGGATTTTTAAAAAAGCACTTTGTCATTATTTCCTGCGCTGATCACCGTTTCAGGAGTAAACACTGTTTTTGAATGGCGCTTCAGTTCTGTTTGTTTGTTTATTATTATTATTAAAGAATTTATCCCACTCTTCAACCAGGAAGAGCTCCCAGAGCACCTGCTCTCACAGACTTAAAATCTAAAAGGGTGCAGCATGAGATGAAAATGGGTTGGGAGGGAGAACAGAATAAGCAAACTCGAGTGCAAGTTCATAGTCACAAGTCCTCCTAATGAGCAGCTGGGGTGGAAAAGCTCAAGGAGGGAGAGCTGCTGGCCTCTTAGCTGGGTTGTCAGCGACATTGCCCTTCTTCCCTCCTCTGCTGCAGCCTAATGGAACAGCCGCTGCCAAGTGATGAGACTGAAGGAGAAGCCTGGCTTCTCAGCAGAACCAGTGGTGGCCCTGCATCCCTCTTTATATTCTGCACCCCAAATTCAAATCCTGTGTTCATTGTACATTAGGCAAAAGTTGTTTGCATTTGTATAGGCCGACTGCCAATGCATTAGCTTGTCCAGTTTGCATTCTTTGCCATAAAGCACCCTGCAGGTGCCTCCTTAACACAGCTCAGTGGTAGGAAGAGAGATTTGGACCACAGAGTGGGATATGCAAGATGTATATATGCCCTGAGCCCCCCATTCTAAAGCAAACCAGGGTGCAGGAGGCCCTGCAATCCCTCTGCCTTGACCTCTGCCTCGTTGCTCTTCCCCAACTCCAGCCTCTGCATCTTCTGTGGGGAGAGAGACGAATCCTTCACAGAGGAAGGCCTGGATCTCCACTACTGGAAACGTTGCCCAATGCTGACAAGGTGCGAGTTCTGCAAACAGGTGAGCCCCCGCCATGAACACGCGTTGTGCATTTTTGAGGGGACCTTGGATGTGTGCCACAGCAGGGGCTGTGTTGGTGACCCCCGCAGTAGCAGCCCAGAGATCTGAGAAAGCTTGGAGAGAGACATGGCTCCCCTTTGGTGCAGCATGTTGTGGCCCTATCTTTGCTGCCCTAGATGTGGCAGTCATTTTGTGTCATGCCATGCCCCTGTCTTGCAGCTGTTTTGGAACTGGGGCCTGCAGCACATTCTCAAAACTCCAAAATGTGCTTACTGGCCCAGAAAGGTGAGCAACCTCTGATCCTGTATCTGACTTCATCCCATAGAATATGGGTCCACTCCAGCCCACGCGCACGCACGCACTCTCTCTCTCTCTTCTGTACAACAGCAGAAGAGGTGGCATCCAGACCAGAGATGTGATTGGGTGGCGGGGTGTGAAAGGGCTGAGCCCCTGCCTACCCACACTTGCACCCTTAATCCCAGGTGCTGACAATTAGGGCTTTGGCATGAGAAACATTTGGCTTTTTGGGGAATTATAGGGAAAGAACTACCCAAACTGTATAGAAACTTATTCATATATGCTACTACGGCGGCAAGAATGTTACTTGCCCCAAAATGGAAAGAAGTAGAAGTCCCAGCAAAGGAAGAATGGATACAAAAACTTATGGAATATGCAGAAATGGCGAAACTTACCGAAGAAATCAAGATAACAAACTTTTTATTTAAAAAATGGAAATGGTTTCTTGAATATTTACAGATAAATTGTAAACAGATAAGAACATTGGCAAGATTGTTGTAACAACCTGCAATTTCATAAGAGTATATTTTTAAAGTAGATGAATAAATGAACAAATTAAGTTAATTTGGATACTGTATGCAGAAGATATTAAAAATAAATTTAGGGAACCACAGAAAGAGAGGGAAGGAAACCAAGTTTTGAAATGTTAAAATGGCTGTGAAATTATTGAAATGTATAAATCTGAAAATTAAAAGTAAAATTTTAAAAAGAGAGAGAGAAAGAGAAACATTTGGCTCTTGCCTCAGACTGTGGACGGTCCCCTTCCAGGTGGTTGAGATTGCCAGCCTGACGGAGCACCTGCTGACAGAGTGCGACAAAAAGGACAACTTTGACAAGTGTCCGCGCTGCTGCGAAGCCCTGCCGAAGGACGAGCTGCCCCGGCATGTCAAGGGAAAGGCCTGCAACCGTAAGGAAGAGCGGGGCTCTGGGTGGGCTGGCAGGGACCAGGCACAGCGGCCTCCGCCAACCAGGCCCCCTCCAGACATTTTGGACTCCCATCAGCCGAATCCAGCATGAGATTGGGACATGCGGTCTGCAATGACATCTCTCTGCTTTCTCCTCTTTCCAGCTGCCAAGCCTGAAAAAGTGGCCAATCACTGTCCGTTGTGCCATGAGAATTTCACGCCAGGAGAGGAGGTGAGAGCCATCGCCCTTAGCTCGGCCAGTCACTGCTTAAAGAGAGGGAAAGGAAGGGTTGACCTTACAAGAAGGGTTATCCTCCAGTCCTGGTTGACCAGATGAAGTCCGGCTCACCCAGCTAGAATTGCATAGCACCTTGTCTGTCTTGTTGTATTAGCAGCTTAGCACAACAGCAAGGCAGTGTGAAACAAGCATAGTGGGCAGCTCCACAGAAGTGCTTTCGATGCAGCTATAGCATCTCTCTGGGATGAATTCATCTTCCTATTTGGCTCCAGCTGCTTGATTTGTGTCTGTTTTATCCTGCCCTTTCCCCATAGGTGGTTCTCTCCCAGCCCCCTTTTATCTTCCCAACCATCCTGCAAGGTGGGCCAGAGGTAGATGTCACGGGAGCAGCGTAGCTGCTGCAGAAAGCAGGCACCACGACTCTTTCACACAGTGCACAGTTAGACGGTGGTGTTGGCTGCCGGAAGATGCAGAGATGGACCTTAACTGTCCTGGCTTTAAAGGCGGGGTAGACTCATAGAGGAGGATAAGGCAGTCAGTGACCCCTAGTCATTATTACCCTGCCCTTTGACCAATATTAGACACAATGCAGTCCCAAATACCTGGGTGTGGGGAGGCTATTGCACTTACTCCCTGCCTATCCATTTCCCAGAGACATCTGACTGGGTGCTAGGCTAGATGCAGTAGGGCTCTTTTTTCCAGGTTCTTCACCTTACATGCTGCATCTCTTCCCTACCCCCAGTCTGCTTGATTTCATTATCTGTGTGAAAGACCTGATCCCTTTTTGACCTTCTCCTCTCCTTCCTTTCCCCATAGGCCTGGAAGGTGCACCTCATGGGCAAAGACGGCTGCCGCATGAACCTGAGACGGACCCAGTCCTTGAACAAGAGCATGCCAATGCAGCCAGTTGCCGGTATGGTCTCCATTGTTGGTTTCACACAGATGACGCTTAGGCAGCGGGGTGGTATCTGTTTGCCTCTCCATAGCACGAGGCAGCTTTCTTCCAGCATCCAGACACCTACAGCTGTCCCTTTTGTAAAAAAAGTGGGAAGCTGAGACTAACGATGTGTGTATGTTTTGTGTGGGAGACACATCTCCACACTCACCTGGGGAACCTGGGGTTGTACACTCAGCCCCACGGGGCATGAACGAGAGTGCATTGTGAAGGAGGCGTATCCTGCAACGGCGCCTGCTTTCGTCTCTGTCTAAACTCAAACACTCTTCTCCCCCACCCCAAATTTTCAGGCAGGCCTGTCGGAGCACCTCTCAACCGATCCGGGCCGACAGGCATGAAGCTTCGCTCCCCATCAGTTGGCAGCAAGATCCCCACCCCACGAGGAGGCATGAATAAAAGCACTGGCAGAACGTATGCAAAGCGATGACGCGGATCTCTTCTTTCCTTTTGGCTCCGCAACCGGCTGCACTTTACGTATCTCGCTCTAAGATTCTGCTTGCAGATAGCGGCGGTACCTTGCCTCACACTCCTCTCCTTCCCCAAGTGGCAAAGTTATAAGCCAATCGCGTCTCTGTATGATTGTTTGGCTCCGATAGGTTGGTCCCCTCTTCCCTGGAGATTGTCCACACAGGTGGAGAAGTTGCACATCCAAAACTCCATCTGGTGGGTGCTCACTCCTTGACTGTGATCTCTTGCAGCACAAAAGCAGGTAAAAGAGGAAGCCTTGTCTAAGCCTTCTTACACCCTCTAGTTTCTGGGTCACTTTCTCCTTGCGCTGCAGGCCCAGGCACAAGAAAGTGGGTTCTTATGTTACATGGGTTGTCTGAATTTAGTGGGATTTGGCATGCCAGTCTTACTCCAAGCCCTACCTAGTTCTTGTAAGAATTTCTCTAGGCAGAGTGACTTACCGTCTAGGCTCAGCCTGAAGCATTTGCTCACGAGGTGTGTTCTACACATTAGGATCTGTTGTGTCTCCTGCTGCTCTTGCGGATTCCCCACTGGATTCTGTGGAGTTTCTGCAGGAGATGTTCCCCCCATAAGTCTGATGTGTCTGTCTCCCACTCTGCTGCTCTTATTGCCCCCCCTCAAAAAAAAAACCTACCACCTGAGGCATCCTAGGAAGGCCGTGCCTGTTCCTTGTTCATAATCAGATACTAAAGAAAAGTACAGATTTAAGCCCCACAAACTAGGCAGCCAGGTTGCCAACCATAGGCCTTTCTGCCCTCTTCCTGTCTGGTTGAAAGGTACATTACTCACCCTATTTTCTAGGAAGTTTTGCTGATCCACCATCACCTTCAAATGCGCATATGAGAGAACTGCAGTGGCCAATAAATATTGGCCTAAGAACCAGTTCATGCCATTTGGGTGGTCAGGGGGGGTACAGCTTTTGGCTGCCTGTTCCATTTCATCTTTCAAGTGGGGGGTAGGAGTGGGAATTGCATGCTTAAATGCTTGCATACTTTGTTAAAAAAAGAAACCTCTCCAATGTCAGAGGAAAGGGCTCTCACCTGGCCTTCTCCTTGACATACTAGAGTTTCTGCATACATCATGAATGGGCAGCTGATGGCCCTCCAATGGTTGTATCCAACTAAGTTCTACTCAGAGTAGACCCACTGAAAGCGGGGAGTTATGCCAATAAACATCAATGGGACGCACTTTGGTTACAATCCCAGAGGTTGTGGGACTCCAGCTCCCATCAGCCCCAGCCCACAGCGTTTGGAGGTCCACAGGTTCCCCATCCCTGGAATCCTTGGGAAGTTTTCATTTTCAAAGCATTTAATTCCCCTACCTGCAGTCTAAACTACTGTGGTCCAACCAGAGCTGTCCCATTTGACCTATTTGATCATGTTCTGCTTGAAAAGATGGGGCAGACCAGAATCCCCTTCTCTAGAGCTCAAGTGGCAGTTCTAGTAACCCAGCAGATGTGTGGGCACGGCACATTATGTTAAGAAGCAATAGGGGGAGGGGAGAACCCAGAATCTTCACTATGTGCAAAGCACTCTGGAAATGAGAACTGACAGGTGGTTGCAGTTCTTGCAGGTCTAAATAATATATCACCCTTGTGTTCCCAAATGGGGATTTTCCAACCTCTCTAGGAGGTTGTCCTCCCTCAGAGAGCATAGCATAACACTTTGGATGATAAAAGGATGCATCCATGATGGTAATTTTAATGGGAAGGGAGTTCCCATGTAATGGGAAAGTTTGAAAACCACTGGATCAGGTTATTGAAAATCCTTAACAACCTCAGGAATGTTAATCAAGTCATGAAAGGGTTTAGTTGCCATCCCATCCTTTGCTTTAAAGGATCATCTGAAAGGACAGCATTCTAAAACTTGTTCTGCATCTTCTTATAAGATGTGTGATGGCTGATGTGGGATCTGCAAGCTTTTGAATTTTGCAAACTCTTCAGCAAGCAGAAAGAAAGGGTAGCCAGATACAGAGGGCATAACTACTACTGTGACCCCTTATGAACGTTAACCTTTTCTTTTTTATGCCCTCCCAACTGTGTAGACTAGAGGGATTATGGAGGCGAAAGAAGGAGTCTAGAGATCACCAACTTAGATGGGTTTTTTAAAAATAGATAAATTCATGGAGGATTGAATGAGAGAGTCTGGTGGAAGCTCTGTGCAGAGCCTGCCCAGCCATTAGGCAGGATGAGGCAGCTGCCTTAGGCAGCAGAAGCCCCCAAAGTGACATCCTACCACCTCTTCCAGCAGCAGAGAAGCACTGCCCATTTCAGGCAAGATTACATCTATTTGGGGCAGTATCTCACCCCAAATCAGTGTGATCTTGCCTGTGGCAGCGCTGCTTCTCTGCCAGTGACAGATGCAACAGGACACATACTGGTGGCACAGCGAGCAGCGGCAGGAGCAGGTATAGTGGTGGCAGCAGCGGGGTCAGGCAGCGTTTCCCGTTTTGCCGCAAGCGGTGAAACAGGATGCACTGCCCCTGGCTCTGTGTATGTGCAGATGTAGCATACCTCTTTATTAAAAAATAATTTTAAAAGAGCTAGAGACTGGGCAGTGGGGAAAGCGACCGTCCTCCCCTTCTAGCCCTGCTTATGGGCTCCCAGAAAGCATCTGGTGAGTGCTAAGTTAGATGGACCCCTTGGGGTGATTCAGCAGGGCTTTTCTTAGGGGGCTTTCATTCCTTTCCTTTTGCAGAAGACTCGCTTTAGCCTTCCTTTTCTGGTCCTCGCAGGTAGGAGCAGCAAACCTAGCACAGCGGAGTAAAGGCTTTTGATTGGGGTGGGACGCTGTTCCAGTTTTAGATGGTTGTGCTGTGCTATGAGGAGCATAAGTGGGCATTAAGCACTTGCACGCTTTCTGGCACAAATCAAACATGCTTATGGGCACACGCGTGCGAGCACACACAGCATTCCCTTTATCTACTCGCAAGCACGTCAAGTAAGAGTAAGGCACAGGTTGGTGTATTTATCGCTCCACACCCACCCACTGAGTGAGTTGCATAGAAAAGCTCTCTCCTGCCCACTTAAGTGGGGTCTGGGGGCCACTGTAACAGCTGCGGAGTGTGCCCTGCACCTCCTGGCAATTCCACCTCCTTACCCAAGCCTCTCTCAACCCTGCTCCATCCCCCCAGAAGCTACCGTAAGTCAGGCCTTGTACTGGAACCTCTTGAAACCCTCAGCCCTGGCCCATCCCAGACCACAGATACGATGCTGTGGGTCATGATGCAGATGAGCTGCTGCTGAAAGGGGCAGATGGAAACACAGAAGGGGAGGGGAGGTGAATGTTTCTGCAAACAAAGGCCTGGATTGTCCTTTGGCTTGTTTAGGGCAGAACAAGAAGGTACATTGGCAAACGCAAGTTCCCAACCCTTTTGTCTGCTGAAGAACAGGAATCCTGGGGCAGGAGAGAAGCAGCCAGGGAGCCCACTTGCGCATGCACCTAGAACCCCCGTTCACTGCTTTAACCCAAACCAGACCTGTTTTGGATATAACAGGTAAAAAAAGCCAGTGGAGGGGTGGGGGTTGGAGAACAGCCAGTGGGATACAGATTAAATACCCCTTTTTTTAACCCTGAGTGTCATCCCTTTTCCTGCATTAACATGTCTTCCTGTACACCTTCCTGTGTAATCACAGGATCTTGGTGACCTTGGCTAGAAATAACCAAGTTACCTCTAAGGAGGGAAACGTGTTTGCAGGAGCAAACTTCCAACACAGGATATCTTTAGGTGCACAAGATGTGCGCTTGCCCTTCAGGTTCCCCAACGTGGGGCCAAGGTTTGTTGCAACTCTCCACCAAGCCAGTCTCCAGTCAGAGGCTCACCTAAAGGGAGCTGGCACCAACACGTCTTCAGTTGGGGTTTTCAAGACTTAAGTTGGATAGCTTGCCATGTTGCAACTTAGCCATGCTGTATGGTTTTGTAGGAAATGAGCAAATTGCTGGATAGCAGGCCTGATTCCAGAGTTTTGCACTCCTTTTGTTACATCAACTTGCACACAGGTTTGTACTGCTCTGATAATAAAGGTCTATATTTCAACAAGGAGTGGCAGTGATTCTTTTTCTCTTTTTGAAATATATCTTTATTTCTGTGTTTATGTGTTCTATATGTAGATTTGGCACTGGTTATGCTCTGCCCTGTCCTTGCCACCATAGCCCAATTCAATAATAAAAATATAAAAAATTGGACTGTTTAAAGAAAAGGCACACAAGCTCAGGTTTGGGTGAATCTCCAGAGGAAGGGAATTCCACAGAGAAGAGCAGCTGAGAATTCTGTTTAGCCTCATGGGTCTGATTTGTGCATAGAAGTTAAGCTTTGGGCAGTATTTTCAGCTGATGTTGAAGTCCGTAGCATAGTGCAGATCAGGTAGTGCAGAGGTGGTCTGTGGATCTTTGATGGTATCAGGTGATCCACAACAAACTTGCAAACATTCGAGAACATTGGTGTTTGGCTCAGCACTTGATTTATTTTACTGGACAACAAAGTTCAAGGCTGTGTTGATTAGGGCCAAAATTTCAAGCTAACAAGGACTCCTGATATGGCACTGATTTTTGACAATGATGCCAGCACTTAAGGAAAAAACATATTTGTTTTTAAGCCAGATGAAAAATCTGTGGCTTTTTAAACGGTATCACTTGTATATTACATAGTTTTTATTGGTCACATTTTGTCAGCTGCATATGTGTTTTTCATTGGATGCAATCTAGCCAACTCTTCCTGTTTCATTATTATATTGGCCACAGATAGCTATGTGCTGGTAAGGGTTTCACAGGATGGAGTTAACTGAAAGGTAGTATCTGCTCCCATATAGTACATTATAGAACTGAGTTTCTCATCCATTAAAAGGGGGGTGCATCTGTTCCATTAGAAAGACAAGACTAGTTATTAAAATATTAGTTGGGTGTAAACTTTGTAACATGTATGCATGTGCTTTGATGTGTACTACAACAGCAAAATTTTGCTAAGTGGTCAGATGAAACACCCATCAACTTTCAAAAGACGGACTGGATGGGTGGGACAAAAGGTTTGGGAACCAGAGATCCTTGTCTGGAAATCCCAGAGAACCTCTGCCAGTCAGAGTAAAAACTATGTGCAATGGACAAACTATCTGGCTTGGCATAAGAGAGCCTCCTGTGTTCCTGTGGTTTTCCAGAGATTGGACTACAACTCCGATCACTGGTATCTCTGTGATCAGGCTGGAGGGAGTTGGAATGGAGGGACATCTGGATGGCCATAGCTGCCCAATCCCTGACATAGTGGGACATGGGCCTGAAGGCTTTTTTAAAGATACATCCAGGCTTATTGAGCCGTTGTGTTTCATCACCTGCACTTTGAATTGCGCCCTGCATGCATCAGAGAGGCAGTTCAGATAACCACCATTCGTCAGACACTTCAAAGTACGCAGACCACTCGGACCACATCTATATAGACAAACCACCATAGAGAGAATCATAGAATGTGCTTTTGGCACTTTTAAATGAATGATATCGTCCCCCCCCCAAAAAAATATTGAACTTTAATAACAAACAGGGTTGATTTAAATTGATTGTTATGGCAATTGCAAATCAGCTCCTCGGTTAATTCCAATCAAACATAAAAGGAAAAGCGGGAAGCCCGATGTGATTGCCAGCTACCCTTTTAGGCGCACCGTTTCCGTTTAATTGACAGCCATAGAGTTTTTAGTATAGGGCGATTTACATCCGGTGAGGGGCAACCGATGCTGACAACCATAAAGATACCATGGAAGTTGGATATTGGGCTAGAGCGGCCTCTTCATTTTATTACCGTGCAAATGAGAAACGGAAGCGGCAACTGAATGTCGCATATCTACATGCTTTTCATGTAGTATTTTTACTTCTAAATTCTACATTTGAAAACGTAACGCTCTGGGGCCTTCGGAAGGGCAGGAAATAAATTTAAAATTACCATCAAATATTTTTTAAGGATATCACCCATATTCGCCACACGCACGTCCGCCTGCTTTTCTGCGCCCACTTCACAAGACTATAAGGACATCTCGCCATTTCCCATTTTTTCCGCTATTGACGGCACAGGAAACGGAAGCGCGTCTTGGACCGGAAGTGCTGTTGACGCCGGAAGCGGAAGCGGCTGTGCCCAGCCGAGAGAAATATGGCGGCGGCGGCGGTAGCAGTGGCGGGAGGGGAAGACGAGGACTGGCCGGAGGTGACAGAGTCCGGCCGGCGGGAGCTGAGCCTGGAGTCGGGCGCCGCCCTGGAGCGGCGTGTGCAGGCCGCCGGGGGCCGCTTCCCGCGGGCTCTGGGCTCCCTGGGGGCGGCGCTGCGGTCGCTGGAGGTGCGCGGGGGCGGCTGCGCGGCGCTGCGTGAGCCGGGGCCGGTCCTGGGGCTCCTGACGGGGCTGCAGACGCTGGCGCTTCCCGGCTGCGCGCTGGGCCCGTCGGGGCTGACCCAGGCCGGGCGCCTCTTGCCGGCCACGCTGCGCACCCTCGACCTCTCCGGCAACGGCCTGGAGGAGCTGCCGGCGGAGCTCGGCGGAACCGGGGAACCCCAGGTGGTGGTGGCGGCGGCGGCGGCCAAGAAGGGCTCCCCTGCCGCCCTGCCTGAGCTACGCCTCCTCAACCTCCGCCGCAACCGCCTTCGCGAAATGGGGCCCGGCCTGGCTCGCTCCGCACCGGCCCTCCAGGAGCTGCTCCTGGGGGGGAACCGCCTGCGCTCCCTACCCGGGGGGCTGCTTCCCACGGACGACGGAGGTGACTCCCGCCGCGCCGCCCCTTTAGCCCTGCTGGGCACCCTGGAGGCGGCGGGCAACGAGCTGGAGGAGCTGAGCCCCAACATCTCCCGCCTGGCCTGCCTCAAGGTAAAAGCCCTGTGCTTCCCAGTTTCTGCTTTTGTAATGAGATTATTAAACTATAGGAATAATGATGGAAAGCAAATAAAGCAAAAGCAACTCTTAATATGCAGTAATAATGCAAGACATAATTCAGCATGCATGAAGAATGGTGGCTGTTCAAGACATCAATGTTTCCTGAGATGTCGATGATGAAAATTGTCCATCCCAGAGCACTGCTTGTTTTGGTGCTGCCATTCACACATAAAAATCTAGAGGTTGTCAGGAATGGGTGTGGAGCCCTATTATGAATGCTTGAATACCGCTCAGGTTGCTGCAATATACGGAACAGCAAATGACCAGAGCAGGGAATGGGGTCACTGGCAGATAATCTACTTTGCACGCAAAAGGTCTCAGGTCTGAAACCAGAGAGCTGCTGGCAGTCAGTGTAGACAGTGCTGAGCTTGATGGACCAATGGTCTGATTTGGGATGGCAGCTTCTGTACTCACATTGGCTTGGGATTTTTTATTGATAGGCAAAATGTTTTTCATTGCTGTCCATCAGAGTAGACAGAACTTGAGATAACTCTTCCAGTGTCTGAAGTAGAAGACAACCACTTAATATACTTTCCCCCCCCCCCCCCCCCCAGACTTTGGATGTTTCCAACAACAAATTATCGGAAATCCCTGTGGAGTTGGCTGACTGCCCTAAGCTGAAGGAAGTCAATTTAAAAGGAAATGCCCTCAAAGACAAACGGCTTGAGAAGATGGTAAATGGTTGCCAAACAAAATCTATCCTGGAATATTTGCGTGTCGGGGGTCGAGGGGGCGGCAAAGGAAAAGGCAAGCAGGATGGTGCTGAGAAGGAGGAGATGAGGAAGAAAAAGAGAGATAAAAACAAGAAAAAAGGCAGTGATGCAGAGGATGAGATGGAAGAAACCCAGAAGCTGCTGGTGAAAGTTCTCCACATCTCTGAGAATCCAGCTCCATTGGTTGTGAAAGCCAGCCCTTCTGTCAAAGACGTCCGCCCCTATATTGTGTGCTGTGTAGTGAAAGGCATGAACTTCAAGCCCGGCAATGCTTTGAAGAGGTTTCTTTCAGTTCAGGTAAGGTTCGAAAGATGATACCACTTGGTTCTGGGCATGGCCCAGTTTCAGAGGGGGGATGTCCTTTGATTCAGTTAGTTGTAGATTAGGTTTCCCCAAGTAAAGATAAACCTCCCCCTCGGAATTGAAATGGGGGGCAGCCCTACTTTGAGCACGGTGGAAGGGAAAGCAAAAGGGGCATCTCCAAGCCCAGGCATGCTGGTGGTAACTTTGCCTTCCACTAGCACAGGACAGTTAAGGATGTGTGGCTCCCCTGATCAGGAGGAAGTAGATCCTGGAGGTCCTTGCCTGCCCTCAGTGTGGTAGAGGAGAAAGGGCCAGATTGTTACACTCTGGAATGCCCTCCCATCAGATGTCAAGGAGTTGAGTAACTATATAACCTTTAGAAGACACCTGAAGGCAGCCCTATCTAGGAAAGCTTTTTAATGTGTAATGTTCTATTTGCTTTTATATATGTTGGAAGCCGTCTAGAGTGGCTGGGGCAACCCAGTCAGATGGGCAGAGTACAGATGATAAAATTGTTGTTGTTGTTGTTGTTAGCACACTCCTTAAAGTTAAGCCTGTTGTTGTGACTCTTCAGCACAGCCTTATTTTAATGACACATCTTACACTTCAGACCAAACTCCACGAGGACATCTGCGAGAAGCGAACAGCAGCTACCATCGCCACACATGACCTGCAGCTTGTGAAAGGTCCTCTTCTCTACGATGTTCGGCCGCCAGATGAATTGAAGGTAGGCTGACAACACCAAGATTAGAAAGCCTTTCAGAATGATACCCCACAAAGGGACAGCAGCAGGCAGCTGGTGCTCTGGTGCTGTTGTGCATGATGGTTATGTGAAAGACAAACCTGCCCAGCCTCTGAGATCTTCAGGGGAGATGTTCTCTCAGTCCTGCCACCCTTACAAGCAGGCTTATTGGGGCATGGGAGAGTGCCTTCTTAGTGGCTGCTCCCAGGGTTTGGAACTCTCATCCAAGAGTAGCTAAACTGGCTCCCTCCTTGGCATTCTTCCACCAACTATTGAAGACTTTCTTATTCCAACTGTTTGGGAACTGAGTGTATTTTTTAACGAAATAACTTTTAAATAGTGCTGTGCTCTTTTTACTGTCTGTATTTTAATAGATCTGCTTTTATACTGTTGTAATTCTTTTAGCATTTAATGACTATGTTTTTAATCTGTGTTTTTGTATTATTACCTGTAAGGTGCATTGAGTCCCAGCCTGGTTAAAAGGTGGGATATAAATCATTAATAATAATAACAGAAACTGACTCCAAGACACTTCTGGCCTTGCATTCATGTTGCAGATCATCCCCTTGGGCCGGAAGGAAATCAAGGCCAAGGACCTCCTCCGTCAGCTGCAGTCGGAGGCCGAGGAGCAGCGGAAGCAGAAGAGGAGGCAGAATATATCCGGACTGCACAGGTGAGTCTGCACCTTAAAGCAGAGCACAGCCCTTGAAATCTTGCACAGAGGGCAGGCAAAAGCCAGGAAGGGTCCATGGGGAAGGGAAGCAGAAAGCGCCCTCAGGACAATCAGGATGGTTTGGAGCTGGAGCAGGAGGTATGTGTCTTTGGAAGGCCCAAGAAGGCTCCCCGAAAAGTCCTTTCTTTTCATTCTTTATTTTTTAAAAATCACTAATGTCCCATGCTATAGCTGAAAGGGCTCCCAAAATCTCATCTGGTCCAGCATCCTGTTCTCACAGCATCCAGCCAAATTCCTTTGAGAAGCCAGTAAGCGGCACTCTCATTTTGCATTTCTTACTACAGAAAGTATTGATCTGATGTGTAGAGATCTTTCCTATTCTAATTAATTCAAGAGTGTTCTGGAAGCTTCTCTGTGTGAAAGAAACAAGCAGAAGGTTCATGATGTTTGGCTTATACCTTAAGAGAAGATGAGTACAGCTGGCTTAAGCTGGTTCTGTTTTATCTTTCTGTCTCTTTTCCTTCTGGTGTGGTGTTCTGTACATAGTATGCTATAGTGTTACTAGGCTGCAACTGGATTTCTTATGGACAGTGCCAGTCCTGAATGTTTTGGATTTGTGACCATTATACTCATTTGCCTTCAGTAGCAGTAAAGCTCTGCTGGATGAAATATTAATTGCCTCTGGTCTATTTTTTAATCCTGCAACGTGTTTAAGTTTTTTCTTTGCTAACTATACGTCAGAGTTCTGCTATGGATCAATATTGAGTAGAATGCCATGACACTCTCCCCACTTGCGATTCCCAGCAACTGATCTTCAGAGGTTTCTTGTCTGTGTCTTCACAGAGCTGTGGTTGTTGTTTTTTAAAAAAGGAATATATTGAGTCAGAAGCAATTCTTATTTTTAAACCTCACATGTGTATTTGCACTTCCTCTCCCCATACCCTAAGTAGCTTCCATTTTCTTATTCCACCCTTGACCAGGTACCTCCAGTTACTGGATGGGAAAGAGAATTACCCCTGCCTGATTGACAACGAAGGTGCTGTGATTTCTTTCCCGCCAATCACAAACAGCGAGAAGACAAAGGTACACATGCTGTGACTTTATTCTAGGAAAAAGTCTGTTCTGTGATCTACATAAATTGGGGAGGTGGGATGGGTTTGCTTCCCCCCTCTTCATACTTCCCAGTTGAGGTTTTGGGTGAAGTGCTTGTTGTGCCACGGAGGGAAGGAGCAGGGGCTGTTGCAAGAGGAAAAGTGGTGGTCAGGCGCTCCCACCTACTGCTTCTCCACTGCCAATCACACCCCTGGAATTTCAAATGCAGATCTGCTTCCAGACACTGTTCCACCCTAAAAAGAATTAGGTTTCCATGTTACAGTGGTGTGTGCTTTTATGAACCTAAGAAGACGCCTACAGAATCAGGCCAGTGGTTTATCTAGTCCAGCAGCATCCTTTTCTCACATTGGCCAGCCGGAAGCCTCTGGGAAGCCCACAAGCAGGACTTAAGTGCTGCAATTCCCAGCACCTGGTATTCAGAGGCATCCTGCCTCTTGACAGTGGAAGGAGAGCGTAGTCAGTGTGGCTGGTAGCCAGTGACAACCTTACCCTCCATAAAATGGCCTTTTCTGTAATTTGGGGATTAACACAGGCTTAACGCTGCAAAAGTTGTTTTCTCACAAAGTATTCCCTCCCCCCAAGCTGAATTTCAAGAAGGTTCTCAATCTACAGCATGCCTTTCAAAAAATCACTTTTACCTACATTTGCCAGGGAGGGGTGTTAGTAACCACCAAAAGAGAGAGAATTGGCGCCTGTAATTATTTTGACTGTGTGTCTATGAATGTTACTGACCTAAAAGGATACTCCATAATGCTTTATTTCATAGCTCAGTTCCATCTGGCATTTCCCTTTCTCCTTCTTTTTAAGCTTGGGAAAACCACCTCTGATGTGCTTCTGGAAGTGACAAGTGCCACAAGCTTGCAGACGTGCAAGGATGTGATGGACACCCTCATTCTAGTAAGGAGTCACTCTGCTTCTACCCTCTCCTCCTCATTTTGCATCCACACTTCTCACTTTCAGGGTCCTGATTTAGCTATTGGAGGCACTTACGGGGTTCATGGTTTAAAAGCAAACCCAGTGTGCAAAATAAAATCACCTCTTTGTGGTTCTCTTCAGCCACCATCCATCAGATCTGTGGCCTTTACATATGTAGCTCTTGCACGCAGGACCTGTACCTAGTTGTCCATCATGCAGGGGACACACACACACACACACACACACACACACACACCTCCTTGTGTTTTGAAGTCTGCCTTCTCATATCCCTCCACTTTCCATTTTAGCATCTTCTGCCCGCCTTTACCCTAAAATGCTGCATTCTGGATTCATAGCAGCGTCATGTTGTCACCTGGGCCTCCAGTCCCATAATAACTGAAGGGAAACTTTAGGTTCTCAGCTGGGGAAAACACTGCCATATCTCTTGAGTAACTCTCTATATGTTGCAATCTTCATTCCTTCACCACAGAAAATGGCGGAGCTGAACAGATCCATTTCAGAGAATACAGGCGAAGACCTGGATTCAGATCACGAATCAAACGACACTGCCGGGCACGAGAATTCAGGGCTTGAAGGCATTTCCAAGACCCTCCCTCTCGTTTTGGAACAGGTTCGGGTCGTGGACAAGGATGGGAACTTAAAAGTCCTTTATCCATCAAAAACTGATTTCAGTATGGTCTCGTCCCTCATGACGGTGATTCATTAAGCGCCTTTGGTTTCCTTTCCCTGTTGTGGGGCACGCTAGACAGCATTTGTGAACAGCCTCCCCTTGCAGGATTTTATCGTTTCTTTAACTCGTCAGCCAGAAATCCAATGCTGTGCTTTGGAGAGGGCTTGGTTGACAGCTAAAAGCAGGGTTTTTGTTGTCTTGAGAGAGACTCGAAGACCTTCTACCCAAGCCAGGGATCCACAAGGATCTCTTGAATAAAGCTGCGGGATCATATTTATTTTAATGAGACACACTAATATCCACGTGGCATAATGGTACTCTATAATCTCTGCATAACTGGGTATCGGGGCCAGGTAGGAAGCTTTGTGGGTGAGAGACACACACACCCTCACCTGCTGCCACCACTGTTAATCAGGTGTTGTGCTTTCTAGCAATACAAATCTGGCCTGCTATTGCTTCAGACTCTGAAGCCTGCTTTGTAACCTTGACCTGGGTGGTGTGGTTGCTGCTGCTGCTGCTGCTGCTGCTCTCTGGAGTCTTCTTCTCCCCATGACACTCAGGTGTCTTGCAGAGTATGTGAGAGGTTGCACTGACACCCAAACTGTTTTTCTCAGTTTATGCCACACTGGCTTTTCTTTAGATCTTGCCAGCAGAGTACCATGAAGCCATACAAACAGGCATGCAGACTTGTGTGTCTTGGGGAGCATCTACCCCACCCTTCCTCCCTCATGCCACGTAGAAAACTCGGTTTTTGAAACTGACGCTTCTTTCAAAATCAATGGTTTGCCATTGGGAAGAGCCACGAGCTGCTCTCCACAGGGGCAACAAAAAGTCGGTAATGACGCAGCACCATGTACACCACCCCTCTGGTCGTGCCTAAAAGGCCTGTATCGTGGTCCAAGTTTCTAGCCCTCATTGATTGCATGGACGAACTGGGAAATGTAACAGCCAGTGATGCGGGGGGGGGGGAGAGAGTACAAATAAAGGAGAAAATGACAAGTGTGCGAACTTCCATTCATTATTTCAGTTTATGCTGAACTCTTCCTCCAAAGGGCCTGATCAGATTTTTTTTCATGTCACACCGTAACAGTTTTCACAGTAATATTGCATACCCACTCTGCAGCGCTAGTTCTGCGTATGCTGCCCCTCCTAGCGTGTTTATCATGGATTTGTAATCCAGCTGAGTTGTGCACCTTTTCACTGGGGGAGGGGATGCCATCCTCTTAATTCAGATTCATAATAAGAGTGGGGATAGAGGCAGCAGTGGCTGATAATTTCTGACCCAGCCCCCTTAAACTTTCCTTCTGGGCTGGCTGCCTTAGTAGAATTGTAGAGTTGGAAGGGACCCCAGGGGTCATCTGGTCCACCCCCCTGCAATGCAGGCATCTCAGCTAAAGAATCCATGTCAAGTGGCCATCCAACCTCTGCTTAAAAACCTCCAAGGAAGGAGATTCCACAACCTCAGGAGAGTAACCTGAGCTCTGCCGGAAGGAGTGCCTGTCCGTGCTACTTTGGGGCCATAAATCTTTCTCACTCTTGAGGGCCACATTCTTATTCAAGCAACCTTCTGGGGGCCACATTGCTAGCGGTGGTCAGGGCCACGGTCAAAAGTGGGTGGGGCAACAGGCATGACTTTGCACAATAAGCTTTTTTCTATGCCCCTCTTTATCCTCCAGGCAAGTGAGAAGCTTTGAGCCAGTGGTTAGAATATCAGACTAGGGCCTGGAAGACCGGGGTTAAAATCCCCACTCAGACGTGAAGCTCGCTGGGTGATCTTGGGCCAGCCATTTGCACTCAGCCCTACCTACCTCACAGGGTGGTTGTGAGGAGAGTATGGGGAGAACTATGTAAGCCGCCTTGAGCTCCTTGGAGAAAAAGGTGAGGTGCAAATGTAATTAATCATCATCCCCAGAATTTAAGGGCATTTCAGCAAGGCAAAAACGCTCACAGAGGGTGCAAAGCAGAGCCTGTACAGGTGCGTCTCTAGGGAGAGACCCAAGAGCCAGAGAAAAAAGTGTGGCGTTCCACATTGGACCCTGTGTCAAGCTTTCTTACGCTGGGTTGAGACAAACTCAGCTCCAAATTAAGCTGAAGGACTGTGCTGTAATCAGAAATTGGCTTAGCAATGGAGGGTGCTCCCATATTTTCAAGACTGATGGGAAACCCTTAACTACCATTAACCCCAGCGGGGTTCAGTGAAGTTCAACAAAGTTTTGTGGATGGGCATAGGCTCCCCATCACTCTCTTAAGGCGTTCGGCTATTCTTAAGGTCATGATTTCTGCATAGCTGGTAGTTTGAGGGAGGGCATCAGAATGGCAATTTGATCCATGTAAAAATAAAACCAGGATTTGTGTTGGGGTGGGTGGGAGAATGAGAGGTCCATTAAACTAGAGCATTTAACGCATTCCCAGCAAATGTTTATGTAAGTGAGATTTCCAGAGGACCTTCAAAAGATTTTTCACGGGCCCCTTGAGGGTCAGGGGGGAGAGGAAAGAAATTAGCTTAATATTAACAGAGAGCAGTTTCCAGCCTCTCCTGAAGCCGGCCCACCCTGGTGCATGTATATACGGGATCTTGTGTGGTCTCTCTTCCCTCCACCACCGCCCCCTGCCTCTTGAAATCCTATGGTCAATAACATTCAAGAGTCAAAGGTTCAGGATCTCTAAATAAGGGCAGGCTTAATAGGATTGTTTTGGAGTTTTTCCTTAAGAATATTAGAGATCCCTGAATCAACAACTAGGGGTGCAAGGGACCCCAATGGGCATCAAGTCCTACTCCCTGCCATGCAGGAATCATAGCTAAAGAATCCCTGACAAATGGCCATCCACCCTCAGCTTAGGAACCTCCAATGAAGAAGAGTCCACCACCTGCCAAAGTCATCCGTTCCACCTTAGAGCACTTTTTACTGGCAAAAAGTTCTCCCTAAGGTTCTGTGGGAATCTCTTGTCATTTCAACCCATTGGTTTGGGCCATCCCCTCTGAAGCAGCAGGAAACAAGCTACCATGGGGCAGCCCTTCAGATATTTGAAGATGGTTTTCACATCACCTCTCAGTATTTTCCGGACTAAACATACCCAACTCCCTCAAGCATTCCTCATAAGGCTTGGTTTCTAGACACCTTTATGACCTTGGTCAACCCACAGCTGCACACATTTAGCTTGTCAATATCCTTAAACTCTGGTGCCCAGAACTGGACACAGGACTCCAGGTGAAGTCTGACCAGGGCAGACTTCCACATCATTAAAATAAGAATCTGATTGCCCCACCTAATCCAGCCATTTCCCTTGTGCTAGCTTGGTTTGTTGTTTATTTTTCCTACTTGATGTATGCAAATCGGGCAGCCAAATTTGGAGGGTGACCGTCCTGTACATGTTGCCGTCCTCGTTGCTGGAATACTCAAGTGTGATCTGCTGGCAACAAGGCATTTTCCTCCTCCTCCCTGGAGCGAACGGGGACTTTTGTTACCGAGAAAACCATGCAGCCGATCTCTGCATAATGAAAGACTCAGCCTTGTCAGTTGCCAGTGTCGTTTTTCAGCCGTAGACCACACAAGAGTCCTGTAACTCGACGAGGTCCTGCGGAGTGTGTGCATTGCCGGGGAAAGTCCACCTCCTCGGTTTATTGGAGCTTGGGACTTCCAGGGGATACATCTTCCCACTTGGGGTGATCCGGAGAGAAAAAGAGAAACCGTAGCTGGACGACGGGGCGAGCCTTTTTGTGGAGTTCGTTCTCTCCCTTTCCAAGGCTCTGTAACGAAAGAGAAGGTGAGAGAAGAGGCGCCAGGAGGTGGATGGCAAAGCCACGAGGAGGAGGAGACCATCGCCTCTCGGCCTCCATCGCAGGGAGGTCTTTGGCCTCTGGGTCGCGGCGGGGCCTGCGTGCCCCCCTTGCCCGCGGGCTGCTGGCACCAGGGCCTTCTCGACAGCCACCGCTGCCCTTCCAGGCCTGGGCAGAGCAAAGGAAAAGCCACAGCAGCAGGCCCGCCAGGCTGAGTCCAGGAGCACGGAATGGTTCTTCTGCTCCTTCCCATCACGTGAGAAGAGTCCCCGGACATGGCGCTCTCTCTCAGAGCCTCCTCTTGCCTCCGTTGCCCAGTGGACGGCACTCTGCACCCTATGTGTGGGGAGGGCAGCTGCTTCTGCTTGGGGAAGGCCTCGGGCGCAGAGGAACCGGGCCGCCCCACACGGCCCACGGCCCGCAAGAGCCTCGGAGAGATCGGGCGTCGGAGGCAGAAGAAGAGCCGGACAGTCTCTCTTGTCGGGAGAGGCCTCCTCAGCTTGACCCCGAGACAGAGCAGCGCATCTTGGACTGGCTGGAAGAAGTGAACCACTGTCTCTTCTCAACGCTGAGCTGCAGTGTCAAGCAGGAAGCAGAGGCAGACACCTCCATCAAAATCATCTACCAGGGGGACTGAAGCTGGGGAGAGGCACTGTTCTCCACCTTGATCCCCCAGACCAGACTTGGCCTCCAAGCAGCAAACTGACTTTGGAGGCTTGCTTAAACTTTTTCTCTCACTCAGTTTGCTCCAGAAGTCCTGTTCCGTCGCCTCACACCCTCACTGCTTCAAATGCAGCTGGACGAGTTTTGGGGTGGTTGTTTGGTTAGGTTTCTCTTTATTTTAGCATTGTGTAGACTGAGATGTGTATGGATAACCCCCTCGTTCGAAATTTGCCTCTGCTGGCAACACATGTCACTTCCTCTCAGCTTCAGTTTCCCACTCTACATGTACAGTATGGGAATAACAGTGACCTACCTTTCAGGGGTGTTGTGAGGATTTCAGGAAGTTATGGTGTCTGTGAAATGTTTGAAAGCCCTGAATGACAGAATTTGCACTGTAACATACTGTAAGTCTCCTCCTTCCATTGACTGGCTGTAACTTTTTTTCCAAACAACTCTTTGCGCCTGCTGACCATCCTCAGCTGAACAGTGATTGATTATCGATTCGATTGTTGACATCAATTTGTAGAACGAACAGAGGGATTTCCCTTGGAAATAATATCTTGGGGGGGGGGAGAGGGAGAGTCAGAGAGAGAGAGAGCTCTTAGCCCTGTATGGGTGGGGCTGGCTTTTTAAAAATCTACTATTTAAGGATTTTATAAAACAATATTATAAAATAACCCCAAAACATTAGGAAGAACTGTCTGACAGTGAGAGCAGTTTGACAGTAGAATGGACTACCTGAGAAGGTGGTGGACTCTCCTTTGTTGGAGGTTTTTAAAGTTTGGATGGCTACCTGTCAGGGATTCTTTAGCTGTGATTTTTGCATTGCAGGGGGTTGGTCTGGATGACCCTTGGGGACCCCTTCCACCTAAGATTCTGTGACCAAAGGTGATACAGACAGCAACTCACGTTTAAAAGTCAGGATCTGCTGCACAAAGGTGAACCTGAGAACCTATGTCTCTAAAGAGGTGGTTCGAAAAACCCAGGAAACAGTGAAGTGCAGAAGGACCTATGTGGAATTTATGGCAGCTCCAGTTAAAATAGTATCAGAGACCAGAAAAGGTTTCTAGCCTAAATCTGTCAGGTTGAACACTCCAGGGCCAGATCAGGATAAGGCAACTCCCTACGTTGTACTCCTCTGCCTGCAGAATCCAGTGTAACTCAAAAGTTTGCATCCAGCTTTCAAAAGAAGGCCACCTCTCGCTTTCTGTGCTTTTGGTGGGGGGAGCTCTGTGCTCCCCTCGCAGAGGGCAGCGACCCACCCTGCCAGCTCCCTGCCCCGACATTCCAGTGGCGCGAAGAAGGATGCTATCTAAACACGCCGCGCAGCTGTGCTGTGGGAGCCCTGTGGCAGGCGCATTCCTGGGCCGGTTTTCAAAGCTTTGCCCAGAGGACTCCTCTCGCGCTCTGCCCGCACGACATCCGAGGCTCGGCAACTCGGAGGGCCCCTTGCTACTCTTGGACGGCGGCCAAGCGCTCCCCTCCTGTTTATTTTGGCAGGGCTGGGGCCCTCCTATCAGAAACACACAGAATTTGCTCCTTTTTGGAAGCTGGTTGAAG